GAAATTTAAACCATAGACTACTTGTTAAAGCTTCGTCCTACTTACTTGGGAGAGGGGGAAACTTCAAAGGATACACAATAGAAGAACAAACTCTTGCCATCCAGAAGATAAAGTCAAATTAGCTCTGCATGGTTTTCTTTTCTAGCTTTTTCCCCCTTTCTGGTTTTTTTTTTTTGGCTCTTCAACGCAATGAAAAGCGATTAAGTGAAAAGTTTTCCGCAGTACCTCCCAGCAGCCAGAGGCTCCCAGCTGGGCAAAGTGGGTTTTTCTACTCGATTTGATGGCAGAGGCTGCATTCAAATTGTGTTTGCACTTTGCACTCGCTCGGAACAGAGGCGGTGCTGCTGGCAAAGCTTCGATTTTATTTTACGTTTTCGGCAAGGTCGTCAAAAGAGTTTCCAGCCAAAGAGGGGGTTGGAGTCAATTGGAAAATTGCCCAAGAGAAAGCCAAAAGAGTTCAAAGGTCAGCATGGAGAAGCAAAAGCTACCTCGGCTAGACTTCAAGTTGAAAAGGTATTTGTGTTGCAGTCTAGGCTCTTAAATATTCAGGTCTTTATATACATATGGCTTGAGTAATATATATATGTATTAGTAGTATATATGGCTATATGCCAGGCGATATTCAATGTCGCTTGAAGCTTGTTGTCCTTGTCGTCCTTGCAACCACGCGCACCGGAAGTGGCGATGATAACACGCCAAAAAGGGAAATGAACACTTTTTTTGGGCAATGGGGTGCGACGGAGTTAGTATTAAACAACAACAACAACAAAAATAAGCAAAAAAAGCAACAACAAGGCCTACAACAACAAGGAGGTATGTCTATATTTTAACAAAATTATGCCACAACAAAGAGTCAAGACTCTTGAAAAAATATTATACCTTAACCCAGAAAACCCTTTAAATGGAAGACTATATATTTTTAAAAATGATTAAACTAATTTTAAAAATTTGAAATAAAATATTTAAGATTTAAAATTAAAGAAATATTAATTAAAAATTAATAAAAGACTAAAATACTTAAACAAAGAACCACAATTATAGGAAGATTTCATAATTATTTCCAAAAAATCAGAGCATTCGAAGAACAGCCATATCCCATTACTCATCCGCCCCGTTGCCTCAGTTATCTTTGGCCCACCGACCACCCCTCCAAAAAGCCTCACCCCTCTTGCCAACTGTCTGCCGCCTTTGGGCGTAAATTTTATTGAGGTCGAATTGAAAATGTGGCCAAGTGGGTATGAAGCTTCAAATGCGGGGGAGGGGACGCAAAAGGCGTTGAAACGGTGGCAGGAATCAAGTGGCCAGCGAAAGAGGGGGTGGCAGAGGTGGCGGGTATCCAAAATTGGGGAGTCTGTGAAAAGCAACAACACCAACAAGAGAAACAACAACAACAAGAGCTACAAAAACAGAATGAACGACAAATGTAACGAAAAATTAAAAGCATTTTATGCGCAAATGGCACGCGGCATTTAAAACGAATGCGAAATATGGTAACACGCGATTTGGCGGCGGCTCCCAGCGACCCCAGCTGACAACAGGCAGGCTCTTCCTCTCTATCGCCCGTCTGCCACCCCTCCTCCCCCTACTTCTGTCTCATCCGAGCGATTCCAACCTTGCCACAATATCCCCCTCCTGCCCTCCGACCCAGCACCCATCACCCATCACAGTGCGTATAATTTATGTGGCATTTAATGAAAACGGAATTGAAATTTAGTGCGAATTTATTAAATGATTTTAAATTGATGTTGGTCTGTGGACCGCATGGCCTTTGCCTCCCTTTGCCCCACCCTGGCCATCAAGCCCACCCCCCCTTGGCCTTCAGCCGAAAACATTTAAATTATTGGCTAGATGGCGGGGTTGGGTATTGGACGACGATGACAAGAGTGTCGAGGGAGACAGAGGACAGAGGTTGAGGATTACTTTAGGGCTTTAAAAATTAGGATCTGATATTCAAGATCATGTTTGAATATAAATGATCGTATTTGAATAGGAATATTGGTGTTTGAACATTAAAAACAGGGCAAGGATAACCAGACGGTGGAGAAAGAGACCTGGCTGATGATTATAAGGCTAAAGATGCTTACTTTTATAAACGTAGATCTAAAAAAAGAAAATTAACCTTTTTTTATAGTTTATGTCTCATATTCAAGATCATATTTAAACATAAATGAATTTAAAATATTTAAATTTTTTGAAGAAAAACAACACAAGTATATAAAACACTTTGAGAGTAAGAGGTTTCTGATATCCACATTCTTGAAGATTATAAATATTCTTATTAGAAAAACTCAAAAACTAATAAATTATAAAGGAAAACTTCTGCTTTTTATAGGTTATGACCATGGTTCATGATCATGTCTTAAGGGGTTATATACAGTTGTGATAGATGAAAAAATTGCAATTTTTTATTGCATATTCTTTAAGTCTATACTGTTGAGAATACTCTCACAAAAATTCATAACGATCGGAGCAGTAGAACCGAAGTTGTAGCTATTTATAGTGCATTACCTGCACATAAAACTTGAACAAACGTTAAACTTTAAACGCGATTATCTCAGAATCTTGATTTTTCGAAATTACCTTTGCGGTGGACACGATTACTAAAAAACTACTAATCCGATCAACAAATTTTGACCACTTATTTATTGCGCGGTACAGCTGTATATAACCCCTTAATATGATTGATTAAATTTGTTTCTTAAGCAACAAGACAAGGAGAAATAGCTTTGCGAATAAGAGGTTCTGACTTATAGAAATAAAGAACTAAAGAAAATAAATCTCAAATTTGTTTATAGGTAATGGCTTTCATACAAGATAGTGTTTGAACCTGATTAGCCATATCTTTTGATAAAAAATTAAGCTAAGAGATAGTAAAACAAGCCACAACCTTAATTATTTCAAGGCTATAGACTGAAAATTTTAGAAATTATGAACTTTTAAAGAAAAGCTTACACCTATTTAGATGTTATGGCTCGTATTCATACCTCTAAATGGAGGTTATGGCTAATAATTATTTTTATTCATATCTCTATATTAATATCTCTAAAGAAAAACTTACACCTATTTAGAGGTTATGGTTTATATTCATACCTCTAAATGGAGGTTATGGCTCATATTCATAAATATTCATACCTCTAAACGATTGATCATGTCCTTAAATGAAAAATAAAAGCCTCAAATTATAGTTTGAAAAGTAGGAAAAGCTAATTAAATGCTATTCATCGGATTGGTTAACAATAATTGGAATTGGTAGTGGAAGTTGCCTTCAAAAAATGCAGTCAGTAGCTAACCAAAAATACAAAATGCCAACTGGGCTAAAAGTGAAAATTGCGCATTAATTAAATTTATAAGCGAGCGGATACCGCGCATCATTAGAGTCGCACAATTAATGTGAATATTGTTGCACATGCAACACACTCACCTGCCTGCATACATATGGAGGTGGAGGGGTGAGGGGTAGGAGGGGCAAACGCAAAAGGTAAACTTGCCGGCTGGATGGTACAATTTTGTAGAGCAGGTCCGATGTCTGCGGCTCGTGTGTGCAATTAAATTGTATAATTTTACACAATTAACAAACAAACAAAGTGGAAAAATTGAAAAATCTCTTTCCAAACAAAACGGAAAACGGTTAACATATGTATACCACCAGAACTCTTGTGAATGTATACAAATAAATATATACCCGATAATGCAACCGAAACGAAATAATTTCAGGTGTTATTAATTTCAAAAAAAAAATAAATTAATATTATTAATCATTCAGATAAATAATGTAAGCAGTGAACGGAATAAGAGACTTGCGATTCTGTGAAAAATATTCACGAAAAATGCATTCCATTATTCATGTTTGTTTCGGAATTTCATCAGGACACACGCGCGTGTGGCATGGAATTTTTGTGGCATAACTACTTTGTTTACCAAATGGCTTTGATTCAACATTAATATCAAGTATTTTAAATTAGATTATGCTACATACAGGATGTCTAACGACTTTAATTCGCAGCTGCAGCTGTTGAATCATTAAGCCTGTGTTGTCTGCGGCATGCAACATCTCCCCGGCAGAGCAGGGCAGGGCAGCCAACTCGATCGCATTGTGGAGTCATATTTGAGGGCAGCTAAAAGTGAAAATCGGCCAGCAAGTTATCCACCAAGCCACCATGGTAGAACAAAAAAACCACAATGGCACAGCTACAGCTACAAGCCCAGCCATGACAATAGTGGGATTCCCCCCACTAGACCTCGTCCTGTGCGGCATCCACCATCCTCCATCCTGCCATCCACCCATTGCCACATTCCCGGGACTCCCTTTTAATTTCGAAATGCCGCCAAACGCTGCCGCAAAATGTGAGTTATTAAAATTGTGGACTATTTGTTTGCATTTTGCAATTCCGTTTGCCGCTTCTGCTGTTTCCAGTCGCCTATCATTCTACATATTTTTTTTTTTTTGTCTATCTTGTTCGTTTTTTATTGTTTAAGTTTTTGTTTTTTATTTTTTGCAGTTCTAGCTGCCCCAGTTTTTATTCCCAGTCTTGTTTTTTTCGCCCCTCCCCGTTTTATTTTTATGCAGTGAGCCTAAATATGTTTTATGTTCTTCGTCGTCGAATGCCAAACACTGCCGTGGAAATAAAGGCCTGTAAACGCCGAACCAGATCACAGTGATCCCAGATTGCGAATTTTTCTATTTTTGGAATTGCTTTTCCATTTTTGGGTTTCCTTTTTTTCTTCTAGGACTTGCTTTACTTAAATTTGGAATGAAATTTTGGCAAGTATTTTCCAAGTTCTTTAAACATTTCTCCCCCAAGTAGGCTAAACCAAATTTGAAATTGTAGCCCCAGAGCCCTATCCCATTTCAAGTCATTATATATTTGAACTCCAAGCTGTGAGGTCGAATTTAAAAATTCAAAGTTTAAATTTGAATTTGAATTTTCGTCGTGAAAATTGAAAATTATTTTTTCGAATTAGTATTTAATTTCCCTTTTCACTCCTTGATTTCAAAAATGGCGTATAAAAATTCGCTCGTGGACAGTGGCCGTAAAAAGCGGACCACCATGCGCCGTGCGGCATCCAAGGCTTGCAAGAGTGGCAGTGCCGCCCTGAAGAGTCCCAAGGGAAAGAATAGAAGGAGCCGAGTCTCTAAGAGGAAATCCTGCGCTAAACCCAGGAACCAGAGGCGGTCTACCAAGAACTGCCAGAAACGGGGTAAAAGTGGAAAGAAAACAAAGTCAACCTCAAAAAGAAATTGTCAGCGCAAGACTAATAGTAAGTTCTAGAGATCCATAGCCATATAGTTCTATAATGTGGTTCTCCATCTTCAGTGTGCCACGTCAAGTTTGATGGCTGCCAATGTACAGAGGATCGAGCAAGAGGCCAGCAAATGTGCCTTAAGTGCTTGGGAAACATCTGTGATTGGGCCAAGGCTGGTGTGACCCCCAGCGAGATGCAACTGGTTCTAAGCCATCGTTACAACAAGGGGCAGAAATAGGCGCTGAGCTGCAAGGCAGTTGACTTCTAAAATGTTCAAAAAATTCGGTTAAATACTTAGGCTTTTAAATTCATATTTTTGGAACTGCTTATTGTCAAAATTTCCACCTTTTCTAAATTTTAATAAATTTTGCAATAGCCCGGAGTTACTGTATTTGTTATTAATGGTACAACTGGTAGTGGTAGATGTGGGGGTGGTCCTCGTGGAAATGCAATTATTTTTATACATTATGCTTGGACTTGCTTTTTTTTTAAGTTTAAACTTAAAGGAAATAAAGGCCTGTATAAGGGCCAAACAGGATCACTGTGATGCCAGATCGCATATTTTTTATGGTTGGAATTGCATTAATCATTTTTGGACTTTAATTTTGCTGGGAGTTTTCCTCCAAAGTCCAAAGCATGATATACAATGCATTTTTTTTATTTTTGGACTTCACTTTTTCAGGTTATTATTTATTATATTTTATTTCGTGTTTGGACTTTAATTTTGTGAAGTATTTCCTCTCAAGTTCTAAGAAGGACTATTTACCCCAAAGCAGATCAGTGATGCCAGCTTTTATTTTATTTATCTTACATCTTAGGTTTGGAATTGCTTTTCCATGTTTGGGTTTGCTCTATTTTTATTTTTAGAACTTTTTCTTTTTAAATTTTGAATTTATTTTTGGTAAATAATTTCCTCCCAAATAATATTTTTCTATAAATATTTCTATAAATATTTCTCTCCCAAGTAGGCCTTGAGGCCTGAAACCCAAATGTCAAATCGTAGCCCCAAACTGCTTTCCCATTTCTAGTCATTCGAAGTTTGATCTCCGAAGTGTGAGGTCGAATATAAAATTGAGAGTCAGATATTTTTTGAATATTAAAAATATTGTGTCGGAATTTTCCCATTTTTAAATTAGTTTTTTCAGTTATAATTTTATTTCAAAATGGTGACAGTAAAAGCCCAAGAGGAGACCCAACATCCCAAACAGACCCACAAGAATCGATCGGTATTTAATCCGGATAAGCGTACTGGTCACGTAGCGACGAAACCCGCCGCCAAACCATTCAAGAGATTCGTGAGGAACCCAACTGGGGGTCCAACTACCTCATGCGGGGACAAGTGTGACAAAACTCAAGTTAATCCACAATCTTAATTGTCAGCGAAATGCGCCTCCAATTGTAAGTTCCAGGGATCTATAGCCCTATAGGTTGCATAATGTGGTTCCCTATCTTCAGTGTGCCACGTCCGATTAAATGGCTGCAGGATTCCACAGAGGATCGAGCAGCTGACCAGAAACTGGTGTTACCCCAACGAGATGCAAACCGTTCCTTACAACCTTCCTTCTTACAATCCTTACAAGTGGCATAAATAGGCGCAGTCCCGCATGTTCTACAAAACAAATTCTAAGGATGTTAAAATTTATATTTCTGGACCTTCTGTATTCCAAAAGTTGTTCTGAATTTCAATAAATGTTTATGGCCCAGAGTCACTATATTAGTAATTAATTCTAGAAGTGGTAGAGGTTGTGGTAGTGGTGGTGGTTGTGGGAATGCAACAATTTTTATTGGCTCTGGCTCTGGCCATCTTATAATTTCATAAGGATCGGCCGACTATATCCTATAGCTGCCATCTAACTGACTCATCAGAAATGGTATTCAATGTTTGGTAACAATACCAACTTTGGTATTTTTGAAGATAGAAGCTTGCGATTTCTTTAAGATTTTCTTTTTCAATAAATGGGTTTTATTATAAAACTCTCATAAGGATCGGCCACCTATATTCAATGTTTGCGATATATAAATGCAGTTTTAACTGCAAGGACTTATCACGATTTAGCTGTCCTTTTTTGTTTTAAGATTTAACTTGAATTTCAAGGAAAATAATTTGCATGTATTTTCCTCCCAAGTTCCAAGATGAACGCCAAACTAGATCTAAGAGATGCGAGATCGTATAATATTTATTTTTGGAATTGCTTTTCCATTTTTGAATTTGCTTTATTTTATTTTAGGACTTGCTTTTTTTACGTTTGGAATTTCATTTTGGTATTCCAAATTTAAATATTTTCATCTCAAATAATATTTTCAAATTTCTACAAATATTTCTTTCTCAAGTAGGCCTTGAGGCTTTAAACCGAAATGTCAAATTGTAGCCCCAGAGCCCTATCCCATTTCTAGTCATTCAATGTTTGAACTCCAAACTGTGAGGACAAACCAAAAATTAAAAGTTAAAAATTTATATTAATTTTCGTCGTGAAAATTAGAAATTTTTTTCGAAATAGTATTCTATTTCCCTTTTCACTCCTTGATTTGAAAATGGCGTATAGAAATTCGCTCGTGGACAGTGGCCGTAAAAAGCGGACCACCATGCGCCGTGCGGCATCCAAGGCTTGCAAGAGTGGCAGTGCCGCCCTGAAGAGTCCCAAGGGAAGGAATAGAAAGAGCCGAGGAAATAAAAAGAAATCCTGCGCTAAACCCAAGAACCAGAGGAGGTCCACTAAGAACTGCCAGAAACGGGGTAAAGGTGGAAAGAAAGTGAAGTCAATTCTAAAAAGTAAATGCCAACGCAACAACGGCGCCTCCAATCGTAAGTTCTAGGGACCTATAGCCCTATAGTTCTATAATGTGGTTCTCCATCTTCAGCGCGCCACGTCAAGTTTGATGTCTGCAAATGTACAGGGGATCGAGCAAAAGGCCAGAAAATCTGCCTTAAGTGCTTGGGAAACATCTGTGATTGGGCCAAGGCTGGTGTTACCCCCAGCGAGATGCAACTGGTTCTAAGCCATCGTTACAACAAGGGGCAGAAATAGGCGCTGTCCTGCGTGGCAATTACTGATAAAATGTTCAACCAATTCGGTTTATTTCGTAGGCTTTTAATTTTATAGTTTTGGAACCTCTTCTTGTCAAAATTTCCACCTCTTTTCTAAATTTGAATAAATTTTGCAATAGCCCGGAGTCACTGTACTTTTAACTAAAGCTACAACAAGTGGTAGTGGTAGAGATGGTGGTGGTGGTGGTCCTGGTGGTTGTGGAAATGCAACAATTTTTATTTGCTCTGGCTCTGGCCATGTCGCTTAAACGTTTTGGTTGACATCCCGTCAACGTCGCTGTCTGGATTTTGGTGTTTGGCCCCTGGCTGACTTCTAATGGCAGCACACATGTCCTTCGTCCTTTTTTTTTGTCGTCCATGTGCATGTGTGTGTTTGCAAGTCCGAGCATTCATTATTGCTCTCCCTCATCTCTATTCTGTGTTCGTATCTGTATCTGTATCTTCCCGGTTTCCTTCTACTACTGCTGCTGCTACTGCTGTTGGTGTGTTGCTGTTGCATTGTGGCACTTATTAAAAATTTTCTGGTATTTTTTCTTGGGTTTTTGTTTCATCCCAGGGTCGGGTCTTTGTCTGCCCAAGGCTTGAACGATGTATGTGTGTAGTGTGGTGTGGTGTGTATGTGCCATGGAGAGGAGATAGAAGAACGGAATCTTCTTTTGTTTATTTATCTTTTTGCTCGGTTTCGAATAACAAATCATTTTGGCTTTACACATATTATGCGGTGCTGCAACGTTCACCCCATCCCCACCACCTCACTATATCCCTTCTTCTTTTTTTTTGCATCCATTGTGCAACGTACGGTTGCAGCAGCCGTTGCAATTGACTCCACTTTTGTCAAACGTATTGTTTTAGTCCGACCCAGTCCACCCACTTTGTTTTTTTTTCTTTTAAACCCACAATCAGCCTACCTACCACCCAACTCTATACACTGAGAGAAGTTTATTTTAGGGTCTGGTATTTAAAATATATATTTTCTCTAATTTTTGGGAGATCTGTTATATAAATGTGATGTGGTTCTTTAACTCTATAATTTCCTTATTCTTTTAGGGCGCTTAGTTCTTTGTTAGATCCTTTCCCGCCTAACCTCCTTCGCGGTTTCCATTGCGTGTTTCCACTGCCGCATTCTTCTTTCCTTTCTGGCTTTATTTTTCTGTTTTTTTTTTTTTATTGTTGCCACAGATTGTCATAGATACAGATACTAACGGGGTTCTTTGTCCCTAGTTCTTCCCTGGTAACATTTTATTCTTTTTTTTTTGTTTTTTTTTTGTTATGTTTGTGGCGCTTCTTCATCAATCTTGGTTGCTTTTTATACCACTATCCACTATGCAGAGGCGTAGCATAAAGGGGTGGTAGAGCTCCGAGAGAACCAAGAGATCTGAGAGGTAGGCAGATTTCTATTGTCATTGTCGCGTTTGCCTCGCCTCTAACAACAATTTTGCATTCATTGTTGTGTTTTTGGTTTTTTTTTTATTTTAAGCTTTTATTGTTGTTGTCAAACTGCATAAATGTCAGCATCAGGCCATTGTCTCAGCAATCGCGTTCAAAACTCATTAGAACAAGTTTTTATTCAGCATAGTTTTCAAAAAAAAAAAATTAATATAAACTTTTCAATTGAAATTGGACGGAGAAATCTGGTTATAGCGATTGATCGTGAAGTTTGAAAAGCGATTTGTAAAACAAGATAACTTCTTATCGGCCAGCCAGGTTCTTGGCCAGCCTGAGGTGGCCTTCTTCTAAGCCGCTTTGCTCGTTCACTGTTTCCTCTGGTAACTCTTCTTTTTTTACCAGCCAACTGACGGGCTTAAGCCTGTCAAACTGTTGCACCTTAAATTGTGGTCGAGTCGCAGGACCTGCAACCAAAAACCAACCAGGAAACCTACGACCTACGACCAAGTACCAAGAACCAAGGACCAAGGACCTGGGCCTTATCGCGTCGCCAGTTCGCCATTCGCCAGTCGGCAGTCGGCGCTTCACGCTCCAGAAGCGAAACCGGATGTGACATCCTTTTAAAGTCGGAAGTACTTATGCTTAAGCGTGCGTCCTTCCAGGCAGGCAGGAGCAGGACCTGTCTCAGTCAGCCGGCTGTCAAGCTGAAATACTACTCTGCCTCTGCCCCTGCCACTGCCACTGCCACTGCCCCTGACTTTTCCCACAAACCCCTTTCACAATCCTTGTCGTCTCGTCGGCTGTCTTGCATCATTTTTGTACTTAAAAATTGTTGCCAACATTCTGCGCCACGAACTCTGTTTCTCAATGTTCAGGCCAGATATGTAGGGGCTTGTACATTTTATATGTTATGATATTAAGGCTTTCTCAGAAGACCATTTTAATTGAAAGGTTTTTAATTAAAAGTATTCTTTTATGATGTACCATTTACATATAATAAAATCATAAATCATAATATGGAGAATTCCTCTTAGAATTCCATTTTAGATGATAGCTTTTTAAATCCCAAAGAACTCCTTTCTTGAAGTTTTTTTAAAGAAAATTGTCATAAAATATTCTCAAAGGACCAAAAGCATTTAATAGTTTCATACATTTCAAACAAAATTACTTGTTTCTTGATGAATATAGACATAAAGACATATATATAAAAAACCTATTCCTTTTTTTGTCTCGAAGGACCAAAATAATGTTTCATAATCTAATTTTACTTATTGGGATATTAAGTTCTTAAGAAAACCCTCCTAATTGGAGAGATTTCTAAATAAAAGAACTCATTTCTTGATTCAAACTTTAAGTATGAATAAAAAGAGATAGGCTAGAAGGACCAAAAGCATTCCGAAATATTATAAGCTATGAAATTATGGCTTTCTCCATTAGAAAGCCATTGAAACTGATAACTTTTCAAATCAAAAAACTCTCATTTTAATACAAACTTTGGAAAATATACATAGCCATAACGAAATAGGCTCGAAGGACGAACAAAAAAAATGGAATATATTATGACATTAAGTCTCTATTTAAGAACCCATCTTAATTGATAGCTTTTCGAATAAAAAACCCACTGTCTTGATGTAAATTTTAAAGAACATATAAAGAAGGAAAGAAAAAAAAAATACAAAAATCACTTTACACCCGCAATGCGAAAAACATTCGGCGGTGTCTTTACGGTTATTTAAGTGCCGTGGGGTGGCACGTCCGGTTCGAGTTCAAGTTCGTTTTCAGTTCAAATGGTCCAAGGATATGGGCTATGCGCGAATTCCTTCAGCTCCGGGGCCAGCTCACTTCTTTGTATTTATTGGAAACAGACACGCGACTGCTGCATATTTTATAAGCTCTACCAGCCCAACCAGCAGCACTACCAGGACAGCTAGAATTGGCAGAACGAGAAATGGACGAAACCCCGGAGTGCTTTTCGGGGGCTCTCGTTACAAATTGTAATAAACCTGAACATCCGCTGCTATTAAGTGACTTCTAATCAACTTTACGGCATCATTTTTTCAGTTCACTTCAGTTCGGTTTTAGTTGGAAGTGCGGTGAGGTGAGGTGAGAGTCCAGGTGTTAATGATTCAATAACATTCGCCTTTAATAGCCACCGACGGGTGGCAGACAACACACTAATGCGGTTATGTTTTCGGGTGGACGTCTGTCCTCCCTAACTTTCACTTATTTTTGTTGGCGTGGGACGTCGGACGTGGGGTAGTCCTCACCCACTGGTCAATTGTTGCGTAACTTTCAATTTGTAAAACATTTTTGGCCCAATGGGGGGTCGTCGCTAATGTATGCCATGATTTTGCGCCACTGCGGCAGAAACCTAATCAATTTGAGGGCACCGGTCTGGCTCTAGACCTGGCTCTGGGAAGATGTAGTTACCCATTCCATCATTGAACCGCCTCGACTATGTCATCCCCCTCGGGGAAGTCACACAGTTACAAGTCCAAGTCCAAGTCCAGCTCCGATTCCCGGACATTAAAAGCAACCATTAACTTTTAAATGAAGCAACGGAAACAAGATAAGCACGTGAAGCGACAAGGCGACCCTCTTTTTCCACCCAACTTCCACTCCCACCCCTAGATAGTATCTCTGCCACGCCCACCACGTCGCCGCTCACAAATGACCCATAATTATTCAATAAGAAATAATAAAGCATGGGGCAACGGGGGTCCTCGAGTTACTTAGGACTCGGACTCGGCCTCAGACTGGGAGTCAGGACCTGCAAACACATATTTCCATTGATGGACAGTCGGCGAGCGCCAAAAGGTGGCAAAAATGGGGAGGCAACGATGCACTAAGAGAAATAAGGGGACTTTCTTTTAAAAAAGTATGAAAATAGGTAATAATATACCAAGTATTTGTTGAAGAGGGTTAGTAGGAGTAAATGTTCTTAGGTTGTTAGGAGAAGGTCTGTTTAAAAAGCTACTAGGGTCTATTTATTATTCTCCATAAGTACCGGGTATCATATACATAGTTTTGAAGGTCTACTCTTCTTTCTTTAAACTGTCCCTCAGAGAGTGAGTCTGTTTTAGAACTACTTTTATCTGTTTAGGTCTGTTTAAAAAGCTAATATTTTCTATAGATTCTTTACAAGTACCAGGCATTATATACTTTTCTTTCTTTAAACTCTCCTTTATTCCAGCACTATTTCTCGCTGTGCAATCATTGGGCTTCTTTGACGTTGACCAGGCCAAATGATTGTTGCGTGACTGGCAAGTTTTTTTCAATGAAAATTCCTTAATTTGCCCCGATAATCGGTCCCAGCCACACCCCCAGAAACCCCAACGAAACACCCTTAGCAATGTTGTCGCTGTAAAGTAGTTACATTTTGTAGCGATTTGTGCCCAACAACACCAATAAACCTGGGTCAGAACACGGGGGACTGTTGATTTTCAAACAAAAAACAAGGAAAGGCAAAAAAAAAAACAGAAATAGCCGGAAAAAGTCGAGTCCTATGTCACTCATACTGTGCCCGTTACCCAAAAAAAAAAAATGTCAGAAGGTCAGTGCAAAGTAGTTTCGTATTCAGGGGTTAGTATTTTTTGGGTTTTAAAGTGTTTCTTAAATAAAATAAAAGTTTAAAACTTACCAAAAGATTCCGTAGAATACCATTCTTTGTAGAAAGCAATAGACTTCTTTGAGTTCTTTCTTTTTTTTTTTTTTAATATTTTGTGGGTTACCTGTAGTCTTTATCACCTTCCCTTCATTCAGCTTAATGATTTTAATTATAATTTTAATTTTAATGAGCCTCCTGGGAAGCTCTGGAAACGTCCACAACTTAAGCGATTAGCCATACATGCTCTTGTGAGCAAAGACTCTGTTTTAGGCCGTAATTTCCAGAAAAAGGACTGCGTGGTTTCCGGGCCCCTGATTCCCGAATCCGGATTTCAGATTAAAATTTTCCGATTTCGGGTATGAGATGGTTTTTTTTGTGTCACATTCGAACCAGAACCAGAACCCGAACCCGCACCAGAACCCAAACCAAAACCCAAAAAGCTACCAAAAGCCAGCAGCGAAAGGTCTCCTCCGGGAGGCCTTTAATTATGTGTTGCTGTGCTGTCATCTGTTTCAAATGTGAGATGATGTTGTTTGTTGTTTACGGTTTACCGTTGACTGTTTACTGTTTTTGTTTTGGGATTTTGGCTTTCAAGGGGATGTCCTGGTCCCTGGGGAGTCACAAGGTACAATGCATTCTGAAAATACACAATGAACAATGAGGTTTTTTGAAAAAGGTGGGGCGGCATGGATATGGTGGGTATTTAGTGTCACATCATTAAAATCGACAAACAACTTTCGGGAAACAACAATTCAGCAAAACTAGCTGGATGGGTTAGCCCCGACATTCATTTTCAAACCATTTTCGTTCAACAACTACAAGTGAGATTCCACAAAATTAATGAGTCATCGTAAAAGTTAACAACTTGCACAAAATTGTTTATCTAAAGTGCTAAGCTTCGTTATAGCTTCTTCTATAAATTGATGTACTCGATTGGATTGGCAAAAGGAAGGATCCCAAACAGTCCTGTCGGGAGTCGGTAGTCGGGAGTCCTGGTAGGAGTGGGAACACGCAGACGTAATCACTTTTTAAGTGTTGGACAATTTATGATACATGAAAGTGTTCTACTTGCTGAGGCACACACACCTTATTCCGATATCCTGCGACCCAAAGATTACTTTTGGGTTGGGTCTCAAAGGGTAGCAAGCGGTACACACACAAACAGTCCTGTAGTCCTTTAGTCCTGTCATAGTCCTGTATATATGTAGATATCTTGTCAGCGCAATAAACACCTCAAAGTTGATGACATTTCATTAAGATCAAGGTGTGGGTCTGGGTAGAGCCAAATGAATTTACCTTTGGAGCATGAAAGTGGGTTTCTTTAGATACTTTCGGGGTATCCTGGCCACCCCGTTTTCTGGCATCCTTTCTGGCATCCACCGCCACCGCAGCCCCAGCCACCATTGATGAAAATTTTCGTGTTCATTTGGTGAAAAGGTTTGCCGCCGAGCATCGTCGTCGACGACGCATTGAATTTCATTAAAACAAGCGCAAAAGTGCTTTTACCTTCCCAGCCTTTTACCACCTCGCCACCTTGCCACCTGCCACCCACATCTTCATCTCATCGTTGCCACACTCATCAGCCTTCGTTACCCACATGCTAGGAGGTAGACTTATGATAGGCAGAAGACGACTTTGCCGCGACTCTCGCCTTCAATCGCGGGCTGTCAGGACTAAGTGTTGCCGCCTTTTTGTCTTTATTGGTCTCCTTGATTTGCCTAAGTGATGTGGAGGAAAGCGTTGGTAAAAAAAAGAAGGGGTGGTAGTGGGTGGGCGGTCGGTCGAGTGGGTGGCTGGGGCGTGGGCGTACTTTAAGCACTTGGTAAGTGAATTTTCGCAAAGCGAGAGCAAAGCAAAGTGCCTTTGATTGCAAAAGCCGCAGTTATTTAAGTTATTTAACGCTCCGTTGCCGGCTGCAATTTTAATTATTTTTTTTTTTTTAAGACCAGAGGGGTGAGCCATATAATGATTACTAACCAAGAAGGTACGACTATTTAAAAAAAATACTAGTTAGTGTTTTAGACAAGTGGACAGGGCTTTATAAGCTTAAGAGATGAGTGCTTGTTGCAACTAATCTTTTGAATAATTTTAAATCAATTTTTTTTTTAATAAAATCCACACTATCTTTTATAATTTTAAAATTTAAAACACTCAAAAAATATATTTTTTAGTCAGTTCATATTTAAAATGTTGCTTTATAAGCTTAGCAACATGTTGCCAAAGGAACTTTGATGACTTCGGCTCCCTTACACGAAGCATCCATCGCTCCTTTCGCTCGGCTTTGGTGTCGGCATCGGCCAACTTCGTGCTGCGTGGGCCTGTGATAAAGGCAACTCTGGATAACGGGACGCCAGGACTCACGAAGTAGCGTCCTGGCATTGCGCTAGGTCAAAATCGGTCCAATGCGAAACGCGCTTGGCGCGACAGGTTCAGTGCTCGGGCAACTTCCTAGCGCGTCGGTTCAGTTCACTTCAGATTCTCAAAAAATTCTCAACTCTGACTCGGGTGCCGACAGCCGTGTTATCCTTGCTGAACTGAACCAGGATTCTTTTGCGAGAATTCTTTTGCGGCCAACCAAGCCAAGTGATCCAATAGAAATCAATCTCTCTCAAACGCAAAAGTGTCACAAAATTACTGAAGCTCTGAGCATTATTCCCAAAAAAAAAATAAAATAAAATATATACAGATGTTAATCACAAATCACTTTTTGATTTGAAAAGTGCTCTTTCGAAAGAGAAACGTCACTCGTTTTCCAAGTTTGAATTTTTTTCAAGTGTTGGCCAGTGTTTCGGACCAGAAAGTCGACTTTTGTGTTTTCGTTTTTTTTCGTTTCGAGGTTTTAAAAATAAAACTAGAAGGTGAGAAACTCATTTATTAAAAATTAAGTAACTTGTGTAAAGTTAAGTGATCTTGTTTGAATATGAAAGTGTTTGAGAAGTCATCAGATAAGTTTTGGAGATATCTTTTATAATCTATATAGGTTGTTGATTGGAAAAACAAGTCATTTCTTTAGATTCTTAAGCTTTAAGTTATGGGGTTTTAAAATAAAACACTTTTGAAATGTTTTCTGTCAGATCAAAGTGAAAAATCTTTGACCCCAAACGATAGGATTATGTTAGGGTAGGTTCTTTTTTTTATAAAGATGAAAGATGAGTAAAAATATCAAAAGAAAGGAACGATTCTTAACTTTAGAAAGTATTCTGATGAAAAATAAATGAAGAGAGAGATGGAGACAGTCTCAAAATATACTATTTTCAAGTTCGAGTTCGATTCCCGCAGTGTCAATTTTTTTTTTTAACTTCAAATTATCTGAAGAAATGATCTTTTTAAACGACAGTATTAAGTTAAGGTACGTTTTTTTTTATAAAGATTCAAGATAAATAAAATATTCTTAACATTAGAAAGTATCATGATGGAAAATAAAAAAAAGGAGAGGAATCTAGAACCTCAAAAAATACTATATATATTCGTATCTTCTTCAAGTTCGAATCCCGCAGTGACTAATTATTATTTCTATATATTTTTTAAACTTTTTTTAAGAACCCAAACAGTTGTGATATTTAACCTCTTTTATTCCTAAAAATTCTCTTCAATTTGCTGCCATAACTCTTCAAAAAATTTATAAAAAAAGAAGGCAATTAAGCTCACACTTTTTAATCATTTTTTAAACACTTTGGTTCCCTGCTGGCTGCCAAAATCTTAGCCAACTTTAAGCTTAAGAACCAGAATCTCATTCCTGTGGCTTTTTTTTACTTCTGTCCTTGCCACCTTGGTAAATTCTTTGGGACCCTTTTTATGGACAACTTTCTTGGCCATCTAACACAAAAGGCGCCAAACCGAGACTGCTGGCGCTGCCCGAGCTTGCATCTCTCTTTTTTAAGTTTGCCGTGATTTATGTTTTATTAATATTAAAAGTGATTTATTAGCCATGAAATTCGAGAGGCGAAGTTGGCCAGCGGGGTAATGCCTTTGTCCCTGCTCGGTACGCCGTGCCGCCTGCTGCATGCGCAATTGTTTAATTACAGGTGCGAGAGGATGCGAAAAGGATGTGATGCAGGCTGACCGTATCCTTAAGCGCCCGCCGCACTGTTCATTATCCTGGCCAGGGCAGGGCAGGGCTGGCTGGCTGACTGGCTGGCCGAACTTAAGGACTAAACTGCTGCACAACGAGATTAAAATTGTAAATGACAGCTAGACTGACAGGAGCAGGAGTAGAAGGAGGAGCAGGAGCATGAGCAGTCCTATCTGCTTCTCCTGTATAGTGTCCTGTGGGTCCTTGTCTCGCGACCCTGCCTCGCTCTATTTGGCGTCGCATTTTGTCGTGTTTTTAATGAAAATTAATTAATTAAATAACGCTTGTACTCAGCAATTCGCATTGTGTTCCTTTGTGTGTGTCCATGTCCAACTATGCGTGTGTGGATGCAATTTTTTTTTCAAAAATATGCATGCAGATACAATGTATGTCCTGTGCATATTGTCCTGACATTCATCCGACTTTCATAGACTGTCAGAAATAAACATTCTTCAAGTCATTTCAAGGTATTTAATACGAATTTCGGGCATTTGGGGCATTTAGGCCTTTAGAACGAGTGTGCATGCACTTCAATTAGCATTAATTTGGAATTTGAGTTTGCAGGATCCTTGGCAGCAGCTCCACCTCCTACATCCTCCTACATCCTTGGCTTACATTCTGGCAACATAGTGACATGCAACTGAGAACTAAAGACTGGTTGGCTAATCAACTAATGCTTCCAGAACAGCGGAAAAGTGCAAAGGCATTGCCAATGTTTTGGGTTTTTGGTATTTGGAAACCTTATATATATATTTCATGACACAGCCCACAGAGAGACAGAGATGTATGTGTATATTTGGAATTCGATTAGTAGCCAGATCTAATGGGCTGCGAAATCCTAGACCGAATGCCAGCCCACCTTTGACCGACCGCGTGATGGCTTTTCAACTCACATTGACGGCATGCCCGGAGCAATTAAACCGGAGCTAATTATTTGGAAATTGGATATGACTGATGGCCCATCATCCGAGAATTATTGACAGGATCTGGCGCCCAAAAACAATGCACTTCCAATACAACAGAACAGCAGAACAGAAGCGAAAAAATCCAGATATTTTGCATAAATTCTGATGAAAATTTTCAACAAAGAAAGCTGAAACGAAAAATATACAAAAATATACGACAATAGCGAAGAACAACGGAAATATCGTCATCAGTATCGTCTCGCTCCCAGGGTCCCCGAAGAGCCATAAATATTTTCATTCTGGTTTTTTATACCAGTGACGAAAGAAAAAATACCAAAGGGTTGGGCTATCACGGGCACAATGTCAGCGAATAAATTAAGCTGCTGCAATATCAAGATTGATCGACACTTTCAAAAGGAAAGGGAGGGGGGGGGGGAAGGGGGGCATGGGAGGCAGTTTTTCAAAGGCCAAGGGGCGTGGCAGCTAATAAATGACGTGTCACACACCCAGCCGGAAATAAACACAATTAAAAACGCATCAGTGGCACAATAGTTACATGTGTTTGTGCACAAAAGTGCCTTCTTTTTTTTTTGGCCAGCAGTCAGGGTTGAGGGTTAAAAGGGGTTATAGCCCCCTCTACAAAGCCGCCACAAATAACGAGCACTTACACATTAACAAAAGGCCACCAGAACACAAAAGCGCAGCACGCGGAATAAAAGAAAAATACCTACATATAAACATTCCCATTTCATACAAAAAAAAAAGCACAAATTGCACAAACAATTGGCCGAGAGTTGAAAAAGTAGAAAACATGGCGAAATGTTTTCAGTTACTTTAAGTGAACAAATAATGCCATTGCTGCTCTAAATAAAAAGCAAGAGGCCAGGCTTACAATGTAATCTGGTAGTAGGTTCATGAAAAACACTGCCCCGCGGAAATTGGACAATGGAAATTAGTAAGTCGGACATCAGGTAACAACTTGGAAGGTACAAGAGACAAAAAATAGTTTCAAATAAAATAGAGGCTTTAAAACAGAGGGAGAGTAAGTGGTTATAGGTTATATATCTTCTTACAAGGGTATATATCTTATACAGGTTATATCATCTTTTGAAATGGTTTGCTTTATAGGCTTTATATGTTGGGCTTTAACATAAAAACATTATATTAATTTATAACATATTTGGGGATAGGTTCTTGAAACGAAAGATACTGGTTACGACAAAGGTTACTATAAGATGGTTACTATAAGATAACAATTTGGTGGATACACGGACAAATGAACAGTTTAAAACGATTTTCTTTATAAACAGCTACAATGTATAATATAAAACAATATAAAATACTTAATATTTTTAAACACAATATTACAATATAAAACACTTCTTTAAAACTATAACACAGTGTGAAATAGCTTTTAAAAGAAGAGACTTGTTGGCAATTTGAATATAATTTGAATATAATTGTTGTATAGAGAACCTAGCTTCAAAAATATGTATATAGAGGATATAACAATACAAACCACTTAAGAGAAACTAAAAAGCTTTTTTTTTTGAAAAAGAGGTTTCTATATAAGACACTAATCGACTTACAAACTAGCGGACAGAAGAACACTAATAATAACACTAATTTTAATAACATTAATAAATAATAGACTTAATAGCATTAAAAAAGATATACAAATATTAACCACTTCATCTACTAAGAATCCTTTTACCTAAGAATGCTAGAATTCTTTTTACTTTGAGTCTTTAGAATCCAGTAGCTTTCTACAAAAAGAGATTAAAAGACTTACAAACTAGGGGACACAGGGACAGATTGACACGTTGAACATAATTCTTTCACTTTAAGGCCTAAAAAGCATAAAACTTAACAACAATTATAAACCATGAGATTCTCTTATATTTTAAAGTAGATTCTAAAATAAGAGACTAGTTAACCAACTGGCGGTACAAATGGACAAAACCCTCTACCCTAAAGAAGTACCTCCCTAACCAAAAAACAAAACTTGAAGCACTATATGCTTATTTCAAATATAAATACAAAATACCTACCTCCTCCTCAAAAGACCTGCTTTCGGGGATTGCATGTGTAGCCACCATAAGCGACCTGAACAGATCATTTACACAACATTTGCATGAAGGTCTGAAGTACCCACGAATGGCAAGGACCCGCCTGAATTTTGATTAGACTTCTCGCACAAATATCTATTTAAATATCAACAATAAAAGACGGCGAACAACTTAATGTTTGTCGGCAGCCATTGCATGTTGAGTCTATTTAATAAATCCACAATATTCGGTTATATTTTTGTGCAAATAGGTCTGGAGAGTCTAGGAAATGGAAGATTATGTGCCATAATTACATTCGATGATTGCTCTGGTATTCAATATTTAACAATAAGAGCTTAAAATCAATTGACCATATTTCCAATTCGATTTTGAGTTTTTAGAAGGCAAATAAGAGGTGAAAGGGTGTCCAATGGGTGTTTATAAACAATATTGGAGTACGACTATATATTGCTGAAGTTGCTGAAAGCGATTGGGGAAGTGGGTGTTTTTGTGTTCGATCTGGATCTGGATGGATGTTGGCTGGCTGGCTGGCTGTTTCGTGCCACACTGACGACTGGCCACGAAATTTAATTAAAACGATTTTCCATTGGCAAACAAACTGCGGTGAGCCGTTTGGAATTTTACCCGAATCGAGTCTACCCGATTTTTGTGTCGCGGTCCTCGTTTTGTCATTAATTTAAAAATTTCGCCCCCCTCCCAGTAACCCTTTTCAAACTGACAACAAACTGAAAATCCAAGCGAACGCTCAAGGCAACATACTACAGCAAAAATATGCATACCAGTTGAGATGACATTCTAAAAATTCTACAAAAAAAAAATCTAAAAAAAAATATCTGGAATATTTTATGGCTTATATCTGGCATATATATTCTATATCTTTTTTTTTCAAACTCTATATATGCTTTAACCACAAAAGAGTACATCTCTTATTGGGGGAGGGAGGCCTGCCTAGTCAGCCTTTTTTTTTCCAACCGTACTCTTCTCGTCCTTTCCCCGCTTTGTGGCAACATGAAAAAGGATGTGTCCTTGCGACATTGACTCATTGCATTCCCCAAACACACCACCACCACCACCAGCACACAGTACATAACACGAAACGCATTCATTCAGGATTCAGCAACAAGTCGGAGAGTCATGTTTGGCTTGCCATTTTGTAGGGCTGACCTCAAACTTTTCCTCACTATTGAATGGGACTTGGCTATTTGTAGCATTTAATGCAGAAACACATCCCTGGCCCCCAAGTGGTCCCTGGCCTTTGATCCATGATCCTGCCACTTGCCAGTTGTTGGCTTCATATGTCATATGTGTGTCCTGCTGTCGGAGTTTATCCTGGCTTTTGTCATTTGACTTTTTCAAGCTTTAACTTAGGAGCTTTAGTATAAGGATATTTCAGAGGTCGTTTTGCCCTTCAACACATCATCAAGCCATCAACTTGATCCTTGCAGCTTAAAGCTGCCATCAATCAAATTAGCTCCTTGGCTCCTTATTAAATCAGCCCTAATATTTATTCCCCAAACTTAATTGTTTGCCCTTCGAAGGCTTAAGCAAGTCCAGGTCATGGCAAGTCCACTGGCTAGTCCTCTGGCTAGTCCTCTGGCATAACAAAATTCATTTGGCCTCCCAGTAAAGAGATTTATGCATGTCAGCAGGGGAAACAGAAAAACAGGACACACACGTCCCAATGTCCTGGTCTGTCTGCCAGGACAGACGGACACACATCAAGCTTTGTATGACAGGTGTGTGACTGTGTGCACTCCCAACTCCTATGTCCCAGCTGGTGGTGTCCAGACGACAGTTAATTTCCTATTTGATATTTGCTGTTAATCTAATAAATTTGCACGCTGGCTACCGAATCGACAGGCGAAACCAAATGAATCGAAAGGCAGTCCCAGACAGAGTCGTTGACAGGACCTGGATGTGAGGTGGGTAGCCGTGTGGCGCACAGGACACCCAACAGTGAGCTCTAACAGAGAGTCCGAGTCATTGTTGTGGTCCAGTGTAATCTCGAAATTAATCTCATTTAACCTATAAACTGCATTGGCCAAAAACCCAGTAATCCTTTTGTCAGAGTTCATGGCTAGCCGAAAGGATGCCCATCTGTTCCGCATCCACCGGCCAAGGGAGCCTCATAAATTGTATCTTTATTTTCTAAACACTTTAGACTTGATGAGTACCCTTTAGCTTTAGATGGATTATTAGTCGTATATCCTAAAGTCTAATAACTAAACTACCTTAAAACACCCTTTTAGTTCCACTTTGTTTTCTTTGTTTTCTTTTTTTTTCCCAAAAGATTAAAACTCTGGTCAGCCCCAACCCTATCCTGGCCTTTCCATCTCTGTTACACGGCAATTACATGACAGGGAAAGCGTGGAAAGTCGAGAAAAACCAGCTTCTACAACGTATTCCTGCGTTTCTCTTCTACGTTTTTTTTTTTTTTTGGAGGATACTGTTTGTTTGCATACCTGGCTAGCTGGCGATAACAATAATCCTTGACAAGCCATAAACATCTTAACGTCCTTGTTCCCCTCTCGTCCTTGTTGCCATTCGTATTTCCATTTTTAGTCGGGAAAAGTCAGCGCAGACAAATGGAGTGAAGTTGCAAATATCATCAGAGTCCTGTGCACTGAAAACAATAAAAGGATAAAGGATTAGACAATATATTACTTGAGAACTAAAAGCTATAGATATTCTTGAAAGCTTTTCATTTATTTGTTATCCTAGTTCTATAGCATATCCTTTATAGTTATCCTTTATTTTTTTTTTTAGAGTGCCACATTCCGGGGTTGCTCTTTCGAATTGTAAACCCAACCAGCTCGCCAGCTCAAAGTCGCAAAGTCAATTTGAATGTTTGTCCAAAACCGGCAGAGGGGAAAGGCAGGGAAAAGGGGACTTGCCACTCCCCTTCCTCCCCCATTGCCATGCTGGGATGTCCTGGGGCAACAGTACCCCTTAGGGTCATGGCCCTTGAATAAGCAGCTAATTCGTTTATTATTTTTATTGTTGCGTTGACATTATTTATGTAAGCTGCTTGTCAGCTTTTCACTTAGGCGGCCACGAGTGCTGGCAGGACGGGGGGTCTCAGGATAACGACAATGACACCCCTTAAAGGGGCCGGAGGGGGAGGCGGAGGGGGAGGTGGAGTGACTGAGAAAAGTGGAAAATAAAAGCGGAAAGCGGAAAGCTTCGCGTCGGAGACTTTATTCATTTCCATTTTATTTGCCCATTTACAAGTTTCAATCTTTATGCCTTAAGTTTCTCATCCTCTTACTGAGTCCTGCGTCCTGACTACTTCGTCCTTCGTCCTTTTTTTTCCGCCCATCATTCTTATCCGGATTGGCGGCAACCCTACTTATATTCTTACGCCATATCCTTATGGCAGGTCGGATGTTGGGATTGTTGGGACTGTCGGGCGGGATGTCGAAGTGTCTCGCAGGACTCTCGCAGGACTTGCTGCCGAGTTATGCCTTTATTTGGCACTTGATGGCAATTGCTTTCACTCAACTCAACCGAACCGAACCGAATCCAAGCCCAACCAGTCCTGATTCGCTTATTGACTGAGCCGGATTGAGGGTTTAAAGGATCAAGGACTCGGTCCTTGGGTGTCAAATGGCTTGTTAACCTTAGATCCTGACTCTCTAATTGGTATTTCATCACAAAATAATAACAACTTGAGGGGTAAAAGGACACCAAAAGGATCTTGAGAACCAAGAGAACCATCTAAGAACTAAACCGCATTTTTTTTTCCTTCGTGTCTTAAATCAAAATCCTTTGGCAGGACATGCCGGGCACTTTTCCACTTCAGTGCCGGCACTGGCAGAGCATAACTAAGGATAACTAAGGATCAGGCGAATGGGACAATTGTCCTGCCATCGTACATGGCATATCAACGATTCCCGCCCACCCATATCCTTGCGCCAGGACCAGGACGAAAGCCAAAGCCAAAGCGCTCAATTAGACCGCAGGGCGTGCAGTAGTGGGGGGTTGGGGGCCGAAGGGGCGTGGTCAAGCGTGCGGCACAAAACCGGTAAAGGACCAAACAGCCAGCAAAAAAAAGAGACCTGGCTTTGGTGGTCGGACAAATAAAAATATGACACGTGTGTGTGTGGGTGTGTGTGGAACTAACGCATATTCATGCATTTGCCAGAGAAGGTGGCAAGGTGGCAGGATAACAAGGGAGTGGTGGCAAGGACTACTGGTGGTGTGACAATTCCGCCGCTGGCCCTCCCTAACCAGAACAGCCAGGACTGCTCATTTACACTTGGCCACATGTCCCAGTGTCTCGGAAATCTGTCGCCTCAGCACTAAAGCCTCAGACTAACACGAAGCCTGGCAGGGGGAGGACTTGCCTCAGGAGGCAGGAGGCCACCTCAGTCTGGGGTATGAGATGGCTTCGACCAAGATTTCTCTTTCTCTCTCACTCCGTACACAAATAGAGTTGGGCTAGTTATCCTGTGTTATCCTGGGGAGTTGCCCTCGCGACAAGTAAGTTTTGCTGACCAAGAACACCGACATACAGGACTACAGGAGATCCTGGCCTAAATAGCCAAGAGCCAGCCTGGAAGCACGTGTCCTGATATAACCCCCCACCCCCCTGTTGGGTGTCTAATTTTGTTTACTTTGAAGGCAACATTGTCCTTATTCTTTGCATTCCCAAGTGTATAATTTTAAATGTCAGCAACAAACTGGCCAGGACTCTGTTAAAGTCCTGCCAGGATGAAATTGGCTAAGCCCAGCAATAGAACAATTAAATGCCACAACAATTTCGGCAACAATCAGGAAATATTATTATATATTCCGGGTGGCCCTCGAGCTGGAAGCCAAGCAAAGGATTTCAAACCTGTTTCACAAAACTAGCCAACAATATACACACAGGACTGGGTACTGCCATATTCCGGCTATAACCATGGCACTTTGTTTCAATTAAAAGCCCCACCCCCTACCCAGCTTGGCCAGAAAGGGGGCTAATCCCGGCAGGTCTACCTGCATGAGCACTCAATTTCTAACCAAATTGTTGATCCTGTGTGCGGGCCTGTGTGCAGCCCAAAAATCAATATAATAATATCGGTCAGTAATTCAATTTTTCACCAAAAAGGATGCCTTTAATCAGAGAGTATCCTGTAATCAGGACATTAGAAAGATTTCAGTGGCTGATCTGGGACGGAAGAGTGTTTAAGTGCCAAGTGCATCAAAAAAGGAGGGCGGCAGGAGGCCTGATTATTACCAAAAGGACTAAAGGCCTAACCGAACCAAAGGACCTGCAGAACGGGGACACCGACTTGGACATGAGCGATAGATAGGACACGTATCTAATAAAACGCCCGGCACACGTACCCACACACTAATGTCCTGCCCGTTCGATCCTGGCTGCTCAAATATTTGGCCTCAGCTTCAGCGCCAGCACCAGCCTCAGCCTTTGTGAGCTCATTAAATTTCGTCAATTTAAATATGTGTGTGGTGTAAAGGACTATACAGGACTCGTATAGCCGACGACGGGGAGTCCTTCGTATGCAACACATTGCTGTGCAAAAGGTTGATGATGGTTGGGTAGTCATCCTCCAAGGAGGACAGCCGGCATATGCACTTCCGACACATTTCCTGTTGCGACTCCTAGTCCTTCGTCCTTCGTCCTTCGCCCTTCGTGCTTCATGCCTCGTCCTTCGTCCTGAGTCCTGCCGTTGAATTTATTACGTGCAAATGTAAATAGCGGCACGTGCGGGCCACGACAGTATCCTGTCCTTCTTCTTTGAAAGCTTCCAAGTCCTTTGCCAAAACAATTGCAACTACACGCCCAGAAATAGTTCCGACATGTATCTGGTATCTTTTATGGTATATTTTCCCTAATTTCTCGCAGTGTATAAAAATGTTCTGGGTCCTTGCTTGTACTTCTTTTTGTGGCAATAAGAATGTTGTCTCCGCCAAACAAAGGCGAGTCTAGTCTGGAGTCCTGGCGAGGCATGCAATTTGCTCTGTCAATAGATAATGCAGCTACAAGATACCAGATACCAAATGACAAATACCAGATACCAGATACCGGAGTGTAAATACTGCCACAACCATTAATTATTTATATTCATTTTTTTTTTTTTTGTTCTTTTTTCAGAAGCCTTGTAAGTCTTGCGATCTCAAGACATGCCCAAGGACACCAGGACCGAAAACTTATGATGAACACAATTGTGGTGCAGGAGAGCGGCGAGCGGATCGCCGACATCGGCCGATATATATCGATGAACGATAAACTGAAGCCCAATCAAAGCAACACCTACAATCGACACTCGAAGCTGGCGGCGTCCGAATCGGAACTGGGATCTGGATCTGGATCGGGTTCGGGATCTGGATCGGGAACTGGAGCTGGAGCTGGATGTGGACCAGCTTTTCGCTGGCAATTATTGTTACTCTTACTGCTTTGCAATTGCATTGGTAAGTCGATTTTTATTCCAATTCCATTCAGTATTTTTTTTTCGGTAAGTCGAGCTCTGTCGTTGAAGCGTTTTGCAAAAGCCAATCTCTATCCTAATGCTTTGCTTCTAATCGTTATCGGTTTATCGATTCAATAATACTCATACTACACTCTGCTTGCCTCATATATACTTTTTATCGTCCAGATCGATAATGATTCCATTATTTATTGATCCTATATGTACGTTATTCAAAGCTTTGTTGTATTAATATTGATTTGCCAATCGTTGACAGGCCGCTCGCTGTTGAAAAAAACACACAAAAAACCCAAGACACTCCAGACACTCCATGCTATGAGATACCTGGTACTCATATACACATAACACATAACCATAGCCATATGTAAATGAATTTCGAAATTGTGTTAATTGTTCCAATCAATGTCTTCTCTTCATGGATATGAAATCTCAATTGAAATGAAGATTATACCGTTTCAAACAAAATCTCCTCAGTGGGCGCCTTCGAGCCGGACTTTGTGATTCCATTGGAGAACGTGACCATTGCCCAGGGTCGGGACGCGACCTTTACGTGTGTGGTAAACAACCTAGGGGGTCATCGGGTGAGTGGTGACGGTGCGTCAGCCCCAGCCAAGGTATGTATCGGTTTCTTAAGTGCAGCGTTGAATTTTTTATCCACTTTTATAATTTTTTTTGTATATTTTTTTGGTCCATTTTCCGTTTGTGGTTTCGTTTCATTCGCCATTTCAAGTGCACAATAATCTAATCCAGTTTTAACGATTTTCCAACTAAAAGGCACCAATAACAATAACGATTACCAAACTGCACCACCACTATTATCGCAATTATGTAACCTTTAAGCGCACCTATTCCTATATATAACTATATACACCATATCTATAGTCAACCTACCAGTATAAACTGCCATAAAATAATATATATATATACTATAGATATATATATCTATGTATATATAGACCACTCTGCATATTAAACGCACCAATGCACTGCCACAGAAACTAAAACAAAAGGACCTCAAACAATAACAGTAAAGAAAATAACCCAGTATCCCGAAATAGGTAGGTACTATATATATATATATATATGTATCTCTGCATATATGTATATATCGAATAAAATTGAATCGAACAGCAGAATCAAAATAAATTTAAATAAACATGTCAAAATTGGTGTGTCGCAGAATCGCCAGCGATGCCACAAACTGCATATAGCTTATTGTTTTTATCATCGTATTATATTATTATTAGCACTCCCATGTCGTTTGTAACACTCGACTCCGAGCGACTCCGGCCCGGTCCCGCCACAGGCCCCCCCCTACTTGTGGCAAGAACTCGGCCCACAAAAGAGCAACCGGTCCAGTCTGTAAGCGATTGTTGTTAACAACAATAAACAATCGCCAGTAAACAATCGCCAATAAACAATCATTAAAAATAAAACGAAAAAGTCCACAATAAATGCATAATAGATACTATTCGGAGGCCGCAGGGGGGCTTTGCGCGAAACAATGAACATGAATTAAGTCTTTGCATCAACATTGCTTTAATAGCTTTAAGTCCTGAATGGTGGAGATATTTCTATAATATATAAGATACTCCCAAATATATCACAGACTATAAGGCATGATGGTGGAGAATTCTTTTACAAATCTTTTGAGGTATTTCGCTTGAGAATCGGATGAGGGCCCCTATCTGGAAAAATGGACAAAAAATCGAAAACATATTTTGTCTCAGGATTTTGATGCAGAATGGTGGAGAATCGGTCCACAAATCGTTTAAGGTACTCCGCTCGAGAATCGGATGAGAAGATATAGCCATCGCCATGGGCCCTCATCGATAGTATCGGGAAAACTATCGATAAGCCAGTGGATATATTTAGGCCTCTTCTGTCAGTAGGCTTTGCAATTGCCATCCGAAATAGTTTTTCTTCAAAGAGGGAGTCGTTCATTTCGATTGGAAAACTTACAAGCGAAGTAGTCGAGCAAAGGTTGTCGAGTCAGTTCTCTCAAAAAATCAGTAACTTTTTCAGAGACGCAAACATCCACCAAAATTAAGATGAGTGATCTTTTGGAACCCAAAACCAGCGACCAGCCCCCGGCCGAGAATCCGGAGAATCCAGAGAATGCTCTGGAGAGTGCTCCCGTTGTCCAGAAGGTAAAGAAACCGAAGCCGAACAACAAGAAGCTGCGCCAGGCGGCCGCCGAGGCCGAGGCGAAGGCCAACCAGGAACGCGCCTTGAAGGAGGGACCGGCGGCCCAAGATGGAGGCTCCAACTTTCGGGATTCGCTGAAGCGCAACCAAAAATTGGTGGTTCCCAAGCGGAGTGTCTGGGACCTGTTCATCGAAGGCAAAGTGCCCGAGGGAGAGATCCAGCAGTATGCCAAGTCCACGGACGACACCACGGCCGTCGACAGGTTCACCTCGGAGGAGAAGCGTCTACTCGACCGCGAGCAGGAGGCGGTGTACCAGCAACTCCGTTTGGCGGCGGAGGCTCATCGCCAGACCCGCAAATACATGCAGGGCTACATCAAGCCGGGCATGACCATGATCCACATCTGCGAGACGCTGGAGGAGACGGCACGCCGCCTCATCGGTGACAAAGGCCTGACCGCGGGTTTGGCCTTCCCCACGGGCTGTTCCCTCAACAACTGTGCCGCCCACTACACTCCGAACAGTGGCGACACCACCGTCTTGGGGGCCGACGATGTCTGCAAAATCGACTTCGGCACCCATGTCCAGGGCAGGATTATCGACTGCGCCTTTACTCTGACCTTCAACCCGAAGTACGATCCCCTGGTGGAGGCTGTGCGTGCGGCCACCAACGCCGGCATTAAAGCGGCTGGTATCGATGTCCGTCTCAGCGAAATCGGTTCCGCCGTCCAGGAGGTTATGGAGTCGTACGAGATCGAGCTAAACGGCAAGGTCTATCCCATAAAGAGCATTCGCAACCTGAACGGCCACTTGGTGGCCCAGTATCGCATACATGCTGGCAAAACTGTGTCCAATGTGGCCAGCACCATTTCCGGTGACGGATACAACGCCATTCGCATGGAGGAGGGCGAGTTCTATGCCATCGAGACCTTTGGCTCCACCGGACGCGGCGTTGTCCAGAAGAACGGGGAGTGCTCACACTATATGCGCGCCTGGAGCCCGCCGCTCACCCAGCTCCGGTTGCAGTCCTCCCGTCAGCTGCTCAACTGCATAAACCGGAACTTTGGCACTTTGGCCTTCTGCCGGCGTTGGCTGGAACGCTATGGTGCCTCCAAGTACCAAATGGCCCTCAAGGACCTGTGCGATAAGTCCGTGGTCAAGGCTTATCCGCCGCTGTGCGACATCAAAGGAAGTTACACGGCCCAGTTCGAGCACACGATCCTGCTGCGTCCCACCTGCAAGGAGGTGGTTTCACGCGGCGATGACTACTAGAACTGCCTGGGCATTTCTACTTTAATCCTTTAATTGTATTTAAAAAAAAAAGGATTAAAGTAAATCAATATTCACTTTAATTCCCAAAATAAAAGAGAAGAAATTCCTTCAACTTAATATTTCATTTTATTTAATTTGAAAACTTTAATGCAAGCCACATGGCGTATACGTGATATTCAAAAATCAAGTAGCCGACACGTTGGCTTCGAATTACAAGAAAAAAGCTACAAAAATATTCCACACACACACACATTCCCCAATTAAAGTGAACTCTTTGCAGTCATTCTTCTTCCTGGCATCGACAGGCAATACATATTATGGCTTTAAATATTTAATATTAAATGGACCGCTTTCCGGGCACTATCTATTAAGGATAATGAAAACACCTGCTCGCTGGTAGTGAGAAACTTTTGCAGGATTGCAAAAGTCGTCATGGACTACCCAGCATTTGGAAAGCTACCCAGTCTATTACTGAAAATAGACAAAAAACTAAAACTACATTTTAAACTGCAATGCAAAAAAAGTGAATCAAAACTAACCAAAAACAGACGCTGGCTTAACTGCCAAGGCTGGCAATAGATATATGTGCCAAATAATGGGTATGAAATCCGCTTATAGAGTGGACGTTTGCTTCGCCCGTCCGGCCAGTGTGTTAATCAACGAAATGGCATCATAAATAAAAACACCATTTCATATAAATCCTTAGATGTTTCAATCAAACAAAAACACTACAAAAATGGGGATCGAGTGGCCGAGTTGGTTGTGCCACCATGTCGGGGTATTTAAACAATAAATAAATACACATAAATTATTGTGAAGGTAATAAAATAAATTTCAGGCCGAAAAACTAATGCCACGACTACTCCATGCCCTTATCATGAATAATTAAATCCAAAAACGATTATTGAATAGTTTAGATTTAGTTTAGGGACAACTTGCAGTGATTTATTTATAAAGCCTAGTTTTAAATGCATTTTAAAGCTTAATTAAGAATTCCTTTTTTGCAGCACAAAATATGGAGTAACAAAGGCACCATCTCCCCCTATATCTATCCTATATATATATAAAATATATTTTGTTTGATTCTCTGATTTGGTTCTTTTTTTCGGGTTGTAAGCCAACCTTTTTACATTTTTTTCGTTTTCGTAAAATAGAGAGAAATATTAATAAAATAAATTCAAGCGCACCGAGTTCAAACCGAAACAGACTTTGCACCATTTTTTATTATGTCTATATATAAATAAATATATGTATATAAATCTTTTGTGTCTGCGAGATACGCGCCACGTAGTCCTGTGTGTGTTGTCCTTGTAGTTGTGTGTCTGTATTGTAGTCTTACTTTATGACATTTGCTCGCTTTATTTGCATTTACATTTGAAATTTTTTACAATCCTTTTCTTTTTTTTGATTTTTTTTTCTTAACTTTTCTTGCCGTTCTCGAATTTTTCGTCAATCCTGTACCCCCCGTTTTTATTTGCCATTTGAGCCTTTGTTCCTCGAAAACTTCCTTCCCGACCGTGCACCCCTCCATGCATTACTCAATAAATTTGCTTTATTGAGTAAATAAATAAAGCGTCACTGCTACAGCCAGTGGCACTGTCGATGTTGCAACATCAAACGGTTGCCCGTTGTCCATGGGTATTTATTCGCTTCCCATCCCCCCTTCGCCTCTCTTTTTTGACAGAATGGGCTTATATTCTGGCCTCTGATGTTGACACACTTGGAATAAAAAAAAAAATAAAGGCGCCACCGCCAGCTGTATTGGCATTCCTGCTTATTGGATTGCCGAACTCTGCCAGAAATATGAATAACCTGCAAAAAGCTGACTCCGTCAGAGGGTGGAGGGTAGATAACAAAGAACTAATGGCACATATTCGGGTACTCTTTTTGGTTGGACACCAATTGTTATTGGTAGTCCATATCAATCAGAAACTAAGACCAAAGCCAAGAGGATTTCAGCCATTTAGGTTGGGCACACAGATAAAAAGTCCGCATAGTAACACTTGGAGAAAAGTTTTTAAGAGAAAGTGAATATATATAGGTATGGTCATACTAATTCACTAGATTAGGTTACATTAAGTCACTTTTTGAGAAAACTCATCAAATATATAGCCTTTTTAGCAACTTCAATAAATAATTATATCAAAAGCTTATTAATTATAAGATTTCAAAAGATATATCGCGTTTGTACTGTACTTTATCCTTTGACTCTGTTACTCTGTGTTACTCTTGCCGGCTTGTGAGACCATTTCCATTCGAATCCGGCACAGGACAAAGCCCGCTTAAGCCTATTAGCTAAAACCCGTAGACTGCGCTCGCTGGGCACACATCATAATGTTAATTAAAATTCGCCAGAGTAGTGCCAGCGGCGGGGAAGGATATATGTAGAAGAGGGAAAATAAGTATGCCTGTTTCAGGACAACGTGTGTTTGTTGCAACATTTTTGCCCCAATCTCCATCCCCGTCCCTGTCCTTTCGGCTTATCCCTTTTGGTCCTTTTTATCCTGCCATACCCAGGACCTAGTTAATCCACTCTTTTTTCTAATTGTGCATGCCATGTTAATGCCAACTGATTAGCCGCTTCAAAACGCACTGCCAACTGCACCCATTATTCATGAATCTTCTGTTCTCTTATTTCCTTTACCTTCTCTTCTTTCTTTTTTGTTGTTTTGTTTTCTGGTTATCCGTTCTATCTGTCTGACTTTAAATGTATACAATATGTACGCCACGTTGGGCGCCAATTTCACTCCGACTGTACTTGATCCTTTCTCCTCTTTGGTTAACCCAACAAACAAAACAAACCAGAACCTAAACCTAAAACCTGAACCTAAAACCTAAACAAACACATGAAAAAAATGAATATAGATATGCATAAGAAATACAAGGAGGATGGTAGTACAAAAAATGTTAACTAATTGTTGAATGTTTCTTCTCTCCACAATCACACACGCTAAACTAAATACTCCAAAACTTGAAAACAAAAACAAAACAAAACCAAATACGCCAAATGGGCAACGAAAACCGCAAACCCAATTCCACTAATTGCACTTGAAATATCCCTTTTCATATCCCACCGACCAATAACCAACAACAAAAACGATTCTAACAATCTGCAAACCACGGAAACGAACAAAAAAAAAACAAAAATTTCAATCCAACCCAAAAAAAAAAAAAACCGAAAACTTGCAAAAACTTTGCGGCTGCTGCTACTGGCCGGCAATACTTGGTTCTTGGTTCAAAATGGAAATGGCGTCAAATTGCGCTGACATCTGACGATGGGCAAAAACAACAACAACACACACAACAACAACCAACTATAACAACAACAATGAACGGACAACAACTGAACCCCACAACTGACTATTAACACTATCGCCGGTCTCCTTTTGAATCCATTGTCAACGATACTGACACCAATGCCTAACTTTTACCATCATCCTACCTCCACCCCCCCCCCATCCACTCCCCATTGTTGCCACATGGTGCATCAACCACCCCGACTAAAACAACAACAAAAAATTCGCTGCAACTACATTCTAATACATCCCACCCACACAAATCGATTTCAATGGCTTGATGGAAAACGAAACCTCAACTAACGAACGGAAATTTCTCAACAACAACCTCAACTTGAGTGATTTAACAACAATAACAACAACTACGCTAATAATAACAACAACAACAAAACCTATAATAACAACAAAAACAACAACAATGTCAATGACAACGCGGGAATGTTGCCAATAATGGCATTAACTAAATATGACGACGTTGGTCACATCAACACCACCCCTCCCACCAAAAAACAAAAAAAAACTTTTTCTGGACCTGGGATATCAAACTGCAATTTCAAAACATCTGGCGTACAAACACACACATTAACACACACTCACACACAATGACACACACACATATATCCTGTATATCCTTTATATCCCTGTATACCCTGCAACACAAATACAAACAACACTTTGACATGCAACAACGACCAAACGTTGTCTTCATCCGTACAAAACGGCGCTGTCATCAACTGAACAACAACAATGCTCATCCCTTTATCCTTCGGCCGCTATACACCATCACCCAACCACCCATTTACCACCCAACCATTCCTGCCCCACCACTCCACCACTCTTCCACTCTATTTCCCATTTGGCAACTGGCAACTGGCACCATCAGGTCGCCTGGATTAAGGCCGATGCCAAGGCAATTCTGGCCATACACGAGCACGTGATAACCAACAATGATCGATTATCGGTGACGCACAACGACTACAACACATGGACACTGAACATACGCAGCGTCAAAATGGAGGATTCCGGCAAATACATGTGTCAGGTCAACACGGATCCCATGAAGATGCAGGTGAGATTTACAATCCATTCAACCTTTCGAATAATACTTTTATATCATTGCCTTTAAATGGCTATCAAGCAATTAGAGATAATCTTTAAGCTTAAGAATTGATTTTCTTTTAGGGGTTATACCATTTTAAAGATCTACATATATCTATCAACGTTAGGAGACCTTATCTTAAAATTGAGAGTGCTAACCCATCCTAGAATCCTAAGAAAACCTCTAGTTATGACTATATGATAGTCGGTACTAATCGTTTTACATTCTTATTCCCTTTTTCTTTTAAAGTTTTTTTTACATAACTCTTAAGAGATCTTGCCTTATCATAGATCACTTCTTATAACCTAACAAAAGTTCTGAAGAAGAGTATACAATACCCGGTAGTTCCATTACCATTTAAAACCAAAAATATCTTTCTTTTTGCTTTACAGTTAGAGAACAACTCACAGAAACTTAATAACTCATGTTTAGATCAATATTATGATCCAAAAACTTAGCAAGACTTCTAAAGAAGAGTATACAATACCCGGTACATCTATTTCATACTATTTACTATTACTGTTTCATACAAATCCATTTTTCCTGGCTTTTCAATTAAAAAATTACATTACCGAGACTTAATACTCCTTTTTAGATCAAAGATATTATCCAAGAACTTAACCAGACTTCTAAAGATAAACAAACGATACCCTGTACTCATATAATATAATAAGAGAGTATAATCCTTTAATTAATATATAATCTCTATAGACTTTCTTTCAAAAGAAAACCAAAGTCAAAAACCTCACAGAGTGAGAAAATGAAGCATTCCGAGAGTACAATTAAATTATTTCAAGAATGTTGGGCTCCCCCTCATTTTTGTAGATGTCCCTACCCATCCTAATATGAGCCCGAGTGTACGGCTGTGTGTGTTAGGATGGTTGGGGGGCTGACATTTAAACACGATATATAAACAATGAAGCGCTTTAATGACAAAAATAAATAACAAACACTGCGCCATTGCAATGTTGACGTCATCAAAGATCGCTTTTGTGTGTACTATGCACGGAAAGAAATAAGGATTAGCTTAAGAAACTAAATATTTATTTATTTTATATAAGAAATTATGATATGGAAAGTATACTCTTAATATCCCCATAAAATATAGCAAAGATATGTTTTTTTTTTAGAGTGTATTGTTGGAGTAACTCATGTGACGTTTGCTACTCGAGTCGTGGCGAGTTGGGTGGAATTGAGTTTTTTTTTTTTTGCCCTGCTCCGCCTTTACCATTTTCACATACATACGTATTCGTTTTTCCTTTGCCCCGCTTTTCCCACCCAGGACCCAGTCAGGACCCACCCACATCACCACATCCTCTTCGTTCGCATTAAACGCTCTCTCGACATGTGCAAAACGATTGCGTTTTCAATTTCATTTCATTTATGCAGCAAGTGAAAAGTGGAAAAGTGGGCGGAGCTGGTTTGTGGAAGGCAGGGCAGGGCAGGGCAGGCAGGGTGCCAGGATACCATACCAGGATAGGAAGGCAGGATGGCTGAAACCCCCCTTCCCATCCACGGCTTGTAATAAAATCAACCTAACAAAGCGAATTGAGTGAAAAGCAAATATGAGACAAATAAAAAGCAAACAGGCTTGACGTTTCTTCAGCTTTTTCGCTTCTTCTCCTGCCAGCTGCATGTCCTGCTTTTAAGCCTTTTTTTTTCTGTATCTCCCCCACCCACCTCTCTGGCCATCCGTCGTATAAATTTCGCGCTTGGCTTGTTTGGGGTTTTTCTTCCATTTTTTTTTTTAAATTTTTTCTGCAGTCCAGGCCTTTCCATCTTTTTTTTGTTTTTTTCCTTTTTTTTGTTGCACTACGACGTCAACTTTATTTTATGACACAACTGTCAACTGCAGCGAGAACAATGACAACGACAACGACAATGATAGCAGCAATTCGGTTATTGTTGCTAGCAACTAACAACCGCAGAATGAGACAAAAATGCGGAAAATAAATATATGAAAGCGGAATAAGCGGAAGCGGTGGCGATTTCCATAATGAGGCGACCATTTGTTGCAGAATGCAGCTAAAACGCTGCCCACCAGCCATCATTAAAAGGTTTTCGCCCAGCATCAACAGAAAAAAACATAGTCTAGTTTTAAGGGCATTGTCTTTCGTCACTAGAGTACAACTTACGTAAATTTCATAGCTCTTCTCAAATCTCTAACAAAAGACCTAAATCGAAATCTCAAATAGTGTAATGAAATGAAGAAAGGTTTACTCAAGATTTCGAAGACAGCATAAAAAAGCATACATTATGTTATCTTTTAGGGATAGCACTGTCATTCGTCACTGGTGTATTATTTTATACAAAGGAAACTCCTCTCTCCTTTAACTTATAACCAAAGACATCTAACTTACAGTCTCCTTTTAGAAAGAAACTTAAAGAAAATCTTGCCACAAAGTTGGAGAATTAAGACTCCACCTTTTATAACCATTTCTTTCGTCACTGAAGTATTTAAAGGATATACCTAAAGCAGAAAATCTTCTTTTCAATTCACAGACAGCCACCTTGGAGGTGGTAATCCCACCGGATATCATCAATGAAGAGACCTCCGGGGACATGATGGTGCCGGAGGGCGGCTCCGCCAAATTGGTATGCCGGGCCCGAGGTCACCCCAAGCCCAAGATCACCTGGCGGCGAGAGGATGGCCGGGAGATTATTGCCCGCAACGGCGTCCATCAGAAAACAAAAGGTAAGGAGCTGCTGAATCTGACTCTGACTTGCTGGCATGTCTAATGTGTTTCCTACAATATATGACCTTTTTTTTTGCAGCCCAAGCCGTGGAGGGGGAAATGCTGACGCTGTCAAAGGTCACGCGATCGGAAATGGGCGCCTACATGTGCATCGCCTCGAACGGAGTGCCGCCCACGGTGAGCAAACGGATGAAGCTACAGGTGCACTGTGAGTACTCCCTCTTCTAACACACAAGAAATCATATATATATATATATATAGCATACATAACTGATATCGAGTGGCATGATAAATGGGAGGAAGGCACCACCTGCTGCTGGTGGTGTTGGCCAAGAAAATACCTTGATTTATGGCAGCTGGAAGGCAGCTAATGCCGCATAATAATCATAATGGTAACTTATAGCCCAGTTTGGTTTTTTCTCCGTCGAATGTGATGTGCGTGCAGCCGTCTATAGGTATTGTAGGTACATATAGGTATAGGTATAGTAGTGTAGTGTAGTGTAGAAACAGGAAGAGGAACAGGAACAGAGCCGCAGCAATAACGCAGCCGCGGCAAAATGCAAGTGTTTCCGACTCGATATCCGGCAGCTTCCTTCACGTGGCGAGCAAACTTTCCAAATGCATTAGAGCGGCAAAATAAATGGTGGAATGCCAGGACAGACAGGATGGCTAAAAAAGAAGGTAGAACCACAAAGGGGTGTGTGTGCTATTCCGGGCGGGCAAACATCACGTTTCTGCAGTAAAACTTTAAACACCATCGGGCTCTCTGGCTGCACATGTGGGTATTCGCGTTTGTATCTTGTGAAGTGGTAATTGTTAAGGGCAGTTCCGCCTTCCAGTACCCTAACCCTATTGCCAGTTAGGATATGCCCTTAGGATACCCACCTTCCCGCATCAAAGTTAATGAAATTTCCAAAAAAAAAAAAAAAACGGGCCAAAAGTTCAAACGACGACAATTTGGTAAAAGAAACAGGGTTATCCCCCAGTAGTAGTGTTTGGCAAGGATACCAAAAAGGATATACAATAAAAAAGGATAAAAAATAAAAGACAAGAGAGGTGACCATATAAGGAGATATATATTTTAATAGAACTTCCAGAAATTTAAAACCAACTAGTTATTTTTTTCTCTGTAGGGCTGACAAGGACCCAACAGCTTGCTGGGATCTTATCGAGAAAATTGTCAAAAATTAGAATAGAAATTTGTTCCTTTTACAATTCCCTTTCCCTGGCCCCCATTTTAGTAAAATAATTCCCATTTTTAGATGAAATCTAAGTCGAACGTAAGCCACTTAATGATTAAAATCAGAAAATAAAGTGGTTTCGTTGGCTTTTACACTTAAATGCTGGAAAGTTAGGCCAAAAGGCCAACAGAGTAGGCCTTGAACTCCTAGTAGGCCTTGAAATCAAACCTCGAATACCTCCCTGGAAGTGTCAAAAAAAAATATCATTCGAAAAAATTACTTCAAGGAAGTAACATCTCTCTAGAGTCTAGACGATGGGTAATAAAAAGAAAAAAATTATTTCCCGAAGAAAGAAAAAAAGGGAAATACAAGAAGAAATAGAAGAAATGCAAGAAATTGTAAATGACAAGTCTTGGTTAGAGGACTTGGACATAATCAATGATTTGGAATTCCTGGATGAGATCTGCGATGACATGGAGCTGGAATTGTCGCCGGAAGCTCGTGACCTGGCCCTCTCCCTGACCTACAGTACGTGTTCTCGGTCCACAGATAGGGAATCCCACAGTAACACAACTCTCTCCTTTCAGCCATTATCAGGGACCAGCTAGTGGATGCCGAACGGTTCTTAAAAATAACCAATCGCGACACAATCACGGTGGAGGACCTGGAAATGGTCAACACAGAGCCATCCGAGGACTATCGCCGTCGAACTTTCCGCCAGAACCCGTTGCGGACATATTGCCCGATCAGCGACACTCTCCCGAAACCGTGCTTCGAGAATCGCCTCTTTCTGCCCGTCTGGCGGAACTGTCAGGTCGGGATGAATCTTATGCTGAATGAGGACAGGAAGGAGGAGCCAGCACCGCAATCGGAAGGCCAAGAGGAACCGAAAAAGGACCTGGAGCGGAAGGAAGAGCCAGCACCGAAATCGGAAGGAAAAGAGGAACCGAAAATGGAATGGGACGACAATTGGATTTTTGATGTTGAGGAAGGGGAATTTGTACAGAAAAAGGATCAGGAGAAAGAGATAATGGATGCGGAAGAGGAACTGGAGCTAATAATAAAAGAGGAAATGATACAGGAACTGAAAGAGGAATTTGAACGGGAATTTAATCTGGACCTTGACATCGAACTGGAGGATGAACTGGTACAATCAATGAAACGGAAAGTTCTAAAGTTACTGAATCGAGAAGAGGAATCGGACCAGGAATCCGAAGAGGAATCCGAAGAGAAATCCAAAAAGGAATCGGAAAAGGAATTGGAAAAGGAAGCGGAAGAGGAATCCGAAGAGGAAGCAGAAGAGAAATCCGAAGAGAAATCGGAAGAAGAATCCAAACAGGAATCCAAACTGGAATCCGAAGAGGAATCGGAAAAGGAATCGGACTCCGAAAAGGAGACCAAAAAGAAAATACAGAAAATACAGTATTACAGTGAGGTATACGGTCAGGATTGGGAAAAGGTACTAGACTGGATTATGAAGGTCACCAATCAGGAATCCGAACAGGTCTCAGAACAGGAATTGGAACAGGAATCCGAAGAGGAATCCGATCATGAATGGGAAAAGGTGTTAAACAGGAACATACGGAAATTCGAAAAGGAATCCAAACAGAATCCCGATCAAGAATCCGGAGAAGAATCCGAAGAAGAATCCAAAAAGGAATCCGAAGAAGAATCCGAAGAAGAATCCGAAGAGAAAAACGAAGAGGAATCCGAAGTGGAACCCGAAGTGGAATGGGATAAGGTACTAAACTGGAATTTACCTAAATCCGATCCGGAATCCGAACACGAATCAGAAAAGGAATCAGAACAGGAATCGAAACAGGAATCCGAAAAGGAATCCGATAATGAATGGGAAAAGGTACTAAACTCGAATATACTGATATTCGAAGAAGAATCCAAACAGAATCCCGATCAAGAATCCGATTCGGAATCCGATTCGGAATCGGATGAGGACTACGAAGACGAATCTGAAATGGAAATGGATCCGGAATTTTATCAGAAATGGAAAAGGGGACTAGACTTGAATTTAATTAAATCCGATAAGGAATCCGATCAGGAATCCGAGAAGAATTCTGATCAGGAATTGGAACTGAGGTCCCATTGGGAATCCGAACAGGAAGCCGAAAAGGAATCAGAAAAGAAACCCGAAGAGGAAGCCGAAGAGGAAGCCGAAGAGGAAGCCGAAGAGGAATCAGAAGAGGAATTCGTAGAGGTAGCAGAAGAGGAAGCCGAGAAGGAATCCAAAGAGGAATCAGAAGAGGAATACGAACAGGAATGCGAAGATGAATCCGAAAAGGAATCGAAACTGGAATCCGGAGATGAATCCGAACCGGAATCGGAACAGGAGTCCGAAGATGAATCCGAACAGAATACCGATCAGGAATCGGAAACGGACTCCGGAACGGACTCGGAAACGGACTCAGATTTCGGACTGGAATTCGATATAGTAGATGTCTCAGACGATTCAGAAACCTCCTCTGAGTCCGATTCTGAATCCTCCTCCGAAGATGAGGGAGATCTGTCAATGTTTCCGGAGATAGATCCGGAAGATGATGGGGAGGATGGAGCTAATGTAGCTAAAATAGGTGATGGAGAGGATAAAAAGGATGGAGAAGCAGTTGTGGCTAACGAGTTGCAGACTTTAAGTCGTGCTGCAATTATAGCCAAGTTTATGGCCGCCGATTACCCCAAACTCTACCAGTACGATGAGCCACCGTTAAGTTACTATCAGAATTACGGTAGGCACCACGAAGACATTGAGTCACCGCCTACTCCGCCTCCTGAAGACGAAGATGATGAGATAATAAAAGATGCAAAAACAAAGAAAGACAAAGAAGTTAATCAGAAGGCTAAGGATATGGATACGAAGGACAAAAAGAAGGAAGCCATCAACAAGAATAGGGGAGGGGGAACGGGTCTGAGCAGCAGTGACGATGAGACCGATGATGAGTTCACCCCAGTGCCGGAGACACCAGAAAAGCAACCGAATCAAAGCCAGCCGGCAAAGCGGGGTAGGCCAACAAAGGCAGCCGCCAAGCCAGCAAATCCAAGGCCACCACCAAAGCCAAAGAATCCTCCAAAGGGAAGGGCCACTGGCTCGAGAGCCAAGGGGGCTGCCGCTGCCGCGTCGCTACACGAGGCACCGCACTCCACGCTGCCATCTCTACTCGACGATCCGATGGAGCCATCCCTGGCACCGCAACCCGAGACTCCGAAGAAAGCTGTCCCCATGAAGATGCCCGATCCCGAGTCGCCACCAGCTCCTTGGGAGTCAATGCATCTACCAAAGTTCAAGATAGTCCCGGCTACTAGTTCCACTTCATCCCGGACTCGTTTCCGTTCATTAACAGCCATTCGTGGTCCGCGTCCTTCAACGTCAGATATGGCCTCAGCCTTGGCGTCAGCTCTGGCTCGGCCTTCTAGACCTAGAGCTCCTGCTCCGGGTCCACCTCCTGCTCTAGCTCCGGATCAAGCACCCGTCCAATCCCCAATGCCAGCTCCTTCATCGTCAGATATGGCCTCAGCCTTGGCGTCAGCTCTGGCTCGGCCTCCTAGACCTAGAGCTCTTGCTCCGGCTCCACCTCTTGCTCTAGCTCCGGATCAAGCACCCGTCCAATCCCCAATGCCAGCTATAGCGTCAATTCAGACTCCAGCTGAACCTCCAGCTTCGCCTCGAGTTCGGAGGACAGCTGTAGAGATAATTCAGGCGTCACTCCTAAAACAAAATACAACTCGAGCTCCTGCTCCTCCTGATGCGCTGGCTCCAGTTCCATCTTTAGCCCCGAATGCAGATATAGCTCCGAAGACAACTTTGAAGAGAGCTGTGGCAGAACCTGAACATATGCAAGAGAGCAAGCGGATGAATCTAGGGATGAACTTCCAGGCACTGGGTCAACCGACAACTCGAACTTCTGCTGCTCATTATCCAGCTCCGGCCTCAGCACCGAAGGCAGATGAAAAGATAGCTCAGCCGTCAGCTCTAGATCATGCTTCATCTGGATCATCAGCTCCGGCTCCGAGGACTGCTTTGGAGATAATTCGGACAGCTCTTCTGCGTGCTCAAATTATTGGTCCTAATGATCGTGACCCTGTTCTTATTTCTCCTCCCCCACCCCTTATGGATGTCCATGCCCAACCTAGTGCCTCTTCTACTGCAGCCCCATTTTTGCCCCGCTTTGGTGCATCTTCTACGCCTAGGTTGTCCACCTCTGTCTCTGGGCCCAACCCCTTTACCATTTCCATTCCTTCCCATGCTATTGACCCAATCCCTGACGCTACTTCGGCGCCGTCTTCGGCTCCTGTTCCTGCTCCTGCAGCTCGGCCTTTTCCAGGATTCGAAGAAGGTTCTACGCCACCCAAAATGGCTCGCCTGGGAAACATTAACGCCCCATCGTCAAATTCCACAAAGGAGCCGAAGAAGAAGCCGGAAGAATAATTCCAGAATCCAAAGTAGATGGCTTGATGGTCAAGATTCCAGAAGAAAGGAAAATCAATGCAACACGCAAGCAAAGAAGATCCTTTCTAGACCCTGAAGAAGAATGAATCTAGAATGCAGAAGCCAACAGAGGATCAGGAGAAGGACCTCTTACCAAATGTTGAGCAAGAAAGAAGAAGAAGCCCACTACTGAGATATCTGATACATGAACATACAGACGACTTCAATAAAATGTTACCAAAAATACTAAAATATCTTAGTTTTGCATAAAATATATTGACGAGAAAAAAGGGGGGCCTTTCATGAGACTTCTTGAACTCTAACCCGAGCCGCTGCTCTCCGTAGAACTGCTAGTGTCCGAGGAGGAGCTCTCAGAGGAGCTGCTGCTCTCGGTAGAGCTGCTGGTTTCAGAGGAGCTGCTGTCGGTGGAGCTGCTGCTAGTGTCAGAGGAGCTGCTGTCGGTGGAGCTGCTGCTGGCGTCGGAACTGCTCTCCGTAGAGCTGCTGGCTGAGCTGCTCTCGGTGGTGGTGGTGTTGCGGCATGGCCAGAAGGGTGGAGGACGGCGTGGAGGACCACGTCCACCACGACCTCCAGGGCCACCGAATCCGCCAGGACCACCGAAACCACCAGGACCTCCAAAACCACCAGGTGGCCCGCCACCGAAACGTCCTCCCGGTCCGCCAAAGCCTGGCGGTCCTCCACGACGTCCACTGAATCCACGGCCGCCACCGAATCCACCCAGGCTGCGGCCTCCTCCGCCACCACCGCGTCCGCCACGTCGGCCGCCTCCCTGGGCCACCACCATCGCCACCAGGGCCAGGAGAGTAATCGCAATGTAGGCACGCATTCTAATCTCAATCCTCCTCAAAGAGCTCCAAGTAAAGACTGATGCTAGTAGCCCCCGAAGACCCCACCTTATATACCCTCGAGTATTTCGCGAAAAGTATTTGCACAAAAATGGAAACGCACCTTTCTCAAAATCCCCCTTTCTTCGGTGTGACGTCAGCGAGCTGTATGATTAGCTGGTGTCTTCAGAAGATCAGGTCCACGGAAGAATTCTTCCGATTTGTTTCTTGTTTTTTTCTCTCAGTCTCTGTTTATTTATTTGCTCTCCAATTCTTGGCGAGGTTTTGTTTTGTAAGAACAGCTGGGTTTTTGTTTTATTTTTTTAATATTTTTGGAACTTTGTTTTCGATTTTTTTTTTCAGAAAGATGGAAGATAAATTAGCGACTTAATTAAATTGATTAAAAGAATCTTTAAGGGACATGACTATCTAAAGAACCATTAACCCCTTTAATTTATTTTAAAATCTGGCCTCGAGTCTAGACTCTGGGAGTCTCTGTATCAATATTAGCAGCCTGCCAGCTGCCTACCGAAAAACTCTATTGGGACAAATTGAATTTTCAATAAGTGGCTGGCTAAAAAGAGTGGCCCGAACACACAACACATGACATATGCTGCCTGACTGCCCGACGGCCTGCTGCCTGCTGCCTGCCACCCACTGTGGCATGGCTGGCAGTCGAGAGTGCGGCATGCACAAATCCAATAAATTGACCAATAATGAACGCTTGAATGCAGCCTGGGCAAGGGCAAAGTTAAAAGGCCAAAAACAATGATGGTCGGTGGTCCTCGCCAGCGGTCCAATCCCCGGGGCGGTTTCAAGACAACGTCAAAGACCAGAGAAAGCACAAAATAGGGGGGAAAACTATAAAAAAAAAGTAGGAAAAAAAATCCCAAAACACACACAGAAGTTGTAAAAATCTCAACACGACACGAAGTGCTCCTATGGTCCAAGGACCAATATATTAATGGCATTTCCTAAGCGTGAGAGGAATACTCTTCATCACAAAGACTAGAATATATCCAAAAAATTTTAGTAAAAAAATATAATAATAATAATAGTAATAAAAAGATTAAAGTCTTAATTAAAATATGTATGTTAGATTAAAAATCCAATCTGGATCTAAGCCTCCACCTTAAAAAGGTCCTCAAGTACTCCCTTTTATAGTCCTTGACCGGCCAGGACCTGCATCACTCTCTGGCCGCCAATCAATCTGAATTGGGGTAATAATTAAACCGTTGGAATCTTCATACCGATGGCTAAGGGATTCAATTCCCAGTGAATGGCCATAAGTGGGGGCGAAAAAGCCAACAAAAAATCAGAAAAATAGGGAAAAATTGCATTGTCTATTTAGTTTACTTTTTTTTTAGATGCCAAAACTGACTGACCACTGGATGCTACTGGGATACTGGGAGCCTGGGTCCTTCGGATCACAATTCCCTTTATCCCTCTCTCTAACAACAAAATAATTCATTTTCAATTAAAATCGTATCAGTTGTTGTTGTTGCTGGTGTAGTGTGGAGCTGCCATTAACCAAAAACAAGAAAAACGAAGGCACAAAATCACAGCTGGAGTCCAAAGACCGGAATACCGGAATTCGGAATCCCGGGAGTTGTCCGACAAAAGGGTTCAAAGTTTTCACTTGGCTCCCTCTGGTGGTGGGCAGCTTAATTGCCAGTCTAGTCCGGCTATTCGGGGGGTGGGGGTGGTGGTGGATTGGTGTTGGGCGGTAGCAAGGTCACTGATGGCTTTACAATTGCCACAGAAACTTACCCTTTTGATTTTCCAGGATTTTTCACTTTTCTTTCTTCTCTCTTTTTTCATCTGCCTTTGGTCTCCGCTTCTTTTGCAGTTCATCCGCTCGTCCAAGTGCCAAATCAATTGGTCGGCGCCCCAGTCCTCACGGATGTCACATTAATTTGCAATGTCGAGGCATCGCCGAAGGCCATCAATTATTGGCAGCGCGAAAATGGTAAGTCGAAAAACCGCTGCTGCTGCAAAAAAAACCGACCAGTGCACTGAACAAAAAACATCACTATGTAATAAAAACTTACCAATTAAGATCAAGTTACCTTACATGTAAAATTACATGTTTATTTACATGGCGTGCTGCAGCTCCTCCCACACTCACATGTAAACAAACGCCATGGCAGCCTTCTTAGCTAATTTCACAATTAAAAGCCAGATCCAGAGCTAACTTTATGCTTTTTGTTGATATTAATTGAGTTGTCACACATTCCAGGTTTATTAAGCTCCATATTTTGTTTAATTATTGTTTTTAATTCACCAAGTCTTCGATGCACAGCCGCCATACGTGAGGTAGAGAGGATCATTAGGGATGACACTCGCAGCCTTCCAATGGAAACTTTCCATTTTATAGTGGTGAAAGTTATGAGATCTGAATATCAGTGATGAGAGTAATCGTCTAAAGAGCCGATTAATGTATTAATTGATTTTAAAACATAAACATAATTTTTTTTTTTGTGTAGTTTTAAGGGTTCATGGTTGCCACGAATTGAATTTTTCATTTAGCATCTGTTGGAGTTGGAACTTGGACTCGTTGAAACTTTATAAACCTTTCAATGCCGCAATTTGTCTTTATTTGGTTCGTGTTCGAAGCTCAGATGTTTTGTAATGCCATCCCATCCCATCCCTCTCAGTGGGTGGGGTGGGGTGGAAAAGAACTCCTAGCTTTCTGGCTGGCTCTTTTGTCAAGTGCATTTGACGTATATTGCAAACGTGACGCTCAACGGGGCGATGCCTGGAAATGTCATCATCCACGGCTCGTCATCACAATCTTCGCCACCACCCCCTTTCGTTTGCCCTCCTTTCTCACCTCACCTCTTCGTGTCACGTAACTCAAGCTCATTTGACCTGTCGCCTTGCTTCGTATTCATGACTTCATTCGCACCTCAAACTCCACACTCCACTTAAATTTTCATTCTTCTTCCGGTCCCCTCCCCTCCCCACCCCTTTTTTCGTTTTCCATGTTTGCTCATTTGCTTTTTCCGGCGTGTTATGTTTTTCACCTGTGTTTTCTTTTTTTCGTCACCAGGTGAAATGATTATTGCCGGCGATCGTTACGCGCTCACCGAAAAGGAGAACAACATGTACGCCATAGAGATGATTCTGCACATCAAGCGACTCCAGTCGAGCGACTTTGGGGGTTACAAGTGCATCTCCAAGAACAGTATTGGCGACACCGAGGGCACCATACGGCTATACGGTGGGTTGAGTTTCCACTTTTAAAAAATAATATATAAAAACTGTTTAGTGTTTATTCATTGAGGGTTTATTAAAAAAACAAAAAACTTTATTGAATTCTATAATACTGAAACCCGTATGTTTCTTAAACCTTTCAGAAATGGAGCGTCCTGGCAAAAAACATTCCCGCTTAGACGAAGATGCCAACGAAGTTACGGTTAGTTTTTTAAAAATGCGATAAATATTTTCTATATATATGTACATACATATATACCACACTTTTATGAAGGAACTCATGGAAACAATTTGAAAATTTTTAAAACCACTTTTTAGCTATTCTTTGAATGAGGAATAGTGGTTCCCAGTTCCCTGATTACAAAATGGTACGACATTTCTCGATCGGATACGAATTGGCCGAGATATGTCTAGCAGACTGGGGCGAAAGCGAAAAAGTCTGAAAATCCACATTTTTATAGGGGAACCCCTTGAAAAAATTCTAAAATTGGCAAAATGACTTTAAAAATAAACTTGTTATCCTTCTTTTCTGTAAATCTTTTTTGACCAGAAGCATGAAGTCGTGATGAAGGACAACCGGCACGAGGACGGGTCACGCAACACGAACGGAAGGCTGTACAAGGACCGCAACCAGGAGCAGGACATGCCCAATAGCGGAGATTCCGGGCCCAGGACCCAGGCCCAGGGGACAATGCGCCTAATCGGGACATTTGTATTAGCCCTGTTGGTGTTATTAACGGCCACGGCGGAAGCCCAAACAACAACAGCAGAAAAGACAACAATGATGTCCTGCGACGGCAATGCTGAGGTGGGGGTGGCCCAAAGAAATCCGGACACAAAGGTGACAGCGGCAAGGACACTGGAGGTGGACGCCGCAAGGACCTGGGATAGATCAACGAGTTGGCAGCAGCGGGTGGGGGCGGCGGAGTAAGATTATTATAGCTTAATTCAATTGTAATTACACAAACAAGATTATGATGCAATGGAGAAGCGCCCCCTGCTCCCGCATCCGCTCCTGCTCCTGCTCCTGGCCCTTTCCCGCCATCCCGGAAGCTCCGAACATTAATCAAAGGGGAGGATGATAAAGCTAATCATCATCCCCCCTCGCCCCGCCATTGGCTAATTGAAGGGCGAGGTGGGGGGACGAGAGGAGTCGGGACTTAATTGAATGCATATTAAATCAAAAAGGATGCTGAGAAACTAAAGTGTCGTAGTTAAATGGAAAAGAAAACGCGTTTAAATGTTACCTCGTTAGTGGAAAATAAAAAAAAAATGAAGAAAACTTACCAAAAAAAAAAATACATTTAAATATAAAGTTAAAAAATAAATAAGAAATAGAAAATCAACTATAAACATAATCGAGAATAAATGGTGTTCGGTTCTTTGAATGGCTTTAGCTCTAAAGTAATGGAAGTATGACTACTGAATGATATATTATATGATTACGATAAAGATATCAAAAAAACAGAATTCTAGTTGTCTAAAATTTAAGATAAACTGTTGTACTTATTTTGATTTTTTCAACGTTAAACTTTTTCCAATTGTTTGTATTGATTTTTAGTATTTTTTTTTTTGGCTAGGATAAAGTTTATATGTATATCCATTTATATATATATTTATAAATATATACATCTATGTATTAAGTGTTTAATCGCAAGTTCTGTATATATGTAAGGCACCGTCTCATAGAGCAGGTGTGTGGTGTTTTTTTTCGGCGAAAATTTAAATATTTAGACGATCTTTGCAAACTGTAAAGCCCAAACTGTAAATATTTGCACCCTTAGTGATTCGTAAACATTAGTTTCTTTGTTAGATTCTATTTGTTTTTAAGGCCCATTGTTGTACCCTTCACTCATTGCTCTATTCCAAAAAGTAAAGACTAAATACGGCGCAACAACTACTTAAAAATATGTCCAAAATTATGCCATAATTTTTTTTAAATTACTAACCATTCTTCACATAACTTTAGACACTTTTCTACAAATTCAAGATGGCATTTTTTGTGGCATATTTTAAGACTCTAGAGAGTTGCGTTTCAAAATAAAACATATTATAGCCCAGATATAAAAAAATCACACAAAAAACTAACCAAAAATCCAGTCAGATGTATGTACTACTCAACTCATGTGTGTTCCGCTCAATTCTATGTTTAAATATATTGTAAATCAAACATAAAAAAAATGCAGCTAAAAAAAAAACATTAAAACAGGAAATAAATGAATGTGCCAAAAGCATTAAAAGCAACTTTGCAAGAATATACACACAAAAAAATATATCAAAAGAAAAAAAAAGAGGAAAAAATATGGGAAAATGTGAGTGCATATCCGAAACACAGTAATTCCCACATATCCAGCTCCGCTCCCAAAACCAAAATCATACAAAATAAAACCCTTAAAAGCGACTATTCAGATGTACTCTGACTTCATATACGTACCGAGGCAAAAAAAAAACATAAATATTAAAAGAATATGGCAGAATATGAATTATATTGTATGTGCAGGCACCCAAAGGGGATTGAAGGAAAATCGTAAAACCATTTTAAGTAAATGTATTTGTCGGAAAAAAAATATTATAAAGTTAATTATCTATAGGGAATTTTTTTTTTGTAAGTGGATGAGACACAGAAAATAGCGCCTAGCAAATTAAATATACACTTAAGGCAAAGGAATAATGTATAATGTTGTTCAAAACTAAAAATCTAGTGGAAATGAAAGAAAAAACCTAAGCAAAACTATAGTATGCTAAGCCCATTACAAAAAAAAGCCCCCATTCGAAAAATCGTAAAACATTCAGTGTCTACGCTACAGCCATACAAGGATAAAAAAAAATCAATAAACAAAGAATATTCTAATATTTGGGAAAACTACATATTGCATAATACACAAGCCACGAGAAAATATCCAGTAATTCCACAAAAACAACAAAAAAATAACCAAAAAAACAAAAATTATATATAAATTAGTTGGTTTTTGTGTTTATGTACATAAGAAATGAGCGAAAAAAAATGTGTTTATACTGTAAAATCGAAATATTCCAAAAACAAACGCATAACGAAAAAACCCCTTTCCCAAAAAAAATAAAATAAAAAAATGGAAAAAAAATAAATGCAAAATAAAGAGATAAATATGAAAAAAAAAACAAGAATTTGAGTTTTTCTTTAAATGAAAATGTGGTAAGTAAACAAGTTTCTATGATTATTTAAGCAAATTATGACACATTTGCCTTGTTTTTCAGCAAATATGTATGGAGTAAAGCCATTGGTGCTCAATTTGCTTCGCAAAAAATAAATATAAAATGCAAACACTAGTCCGGGGCAGCAAGCTGGGCAAATAGTTTTGGTGAAAAGACAAGACCAACAATGTGGCCATAGCTAACATTTTATATTTATTTTAAGTTGTTCGTTACAAAACATGCACACAACTCGTGCCAGTGAGTTAGTCACTCATATTGCCACACCAGTGGCTCATGCGACACAATGTTACCTCAGAACGTTGCACTCCACAGAATCCATAATCCGTATCCAGTAGCCCACATCCTCCCTCATCCGACTGCTGCCTGCGCTTGGCCCAACAAAATGTAAATGGAATATGAAAAAAATATATATATATATCTTTAAATTTGCATCTTTTATATTCACACAAGAAGGAAGCAAAGATTGCGTTTATAACAATGTGCAGGGTTATGTCAACTCGAACCAGAAGGAGAGCCAGAAACAGGACTATATCTACAATAAAGGACAGAAGGGATAAAAAATTACACTCGAAGAAATTATACATATTCTAATACGATTTAAAGGTTTTTTTATTGTTAAAGACTTGAAATAAGCATTATAAACCTTTACTTTAGGATTCCTTTAGGAAAGCATTTAAACACTTAAATTATGTTTTATTTAGGAGCTTAAATAAATTCCCGTGTAAGTAAAATTCAAATCTAAATCCAAAAGATGAATGCACCTTGTTGCCAGAGATAGTAGTTGCCTCAATTTCTTGGCCCTGTTGCAAGTTCCAACTGCCACTGCCACGGCTAATAGTTTAAATTCATCTGCATGTCTGTGTCTGGTTTCACGCTTTATGCACTGCTAATGATTTGATGTCGTCTCCTGCCCGGAATAGAGTGCAGACTCCGATGGCAACTCATGGGGAAAAAAAATGTACTCCGGTACGGAGCCAAAACCCAAGGATATGGAAAATAAGCAGAGCAACCATGAGTTCTATACTAAATACTAACGTCAAATGCAAAAATCTTCGTCTAATATTTTTTTCAGTTGGTTTTCCTTTATATATGTATATATATTTTTGTTGATAAATACATATATGTATGTATGTATGTACAGGGTTTGAGTCAAAACTTTAAAAGTTTCACAGAGAAATCGATTAGCCAGAAATAAACAAATAATGAATCGAGTTTCGTTTCGGCAAAACACTAACAAAATAAAGCCAGTTTGCTTTTAGCACAAATTTGGAAAGCCCAAGTGGCAATTCGTTTAAGGAAAAATATCAATTTGGGTTTTGGGGAAAATAAATAGATAATTGCTGGTAGAGTAAGCAAACAATTTATTTTCAAAGTAAGCAAAAAGCAAATATGAAGAAAATTAATACTTTTAGGCAAGCGATTCTGAAAAAGATGTGATTAGAATGGAAGAACATGATATTTAGGGAATATATGTATATGCTAAAAGATAATTAAGAAAATGTTAACTAAAGTTGGATAACTTGAGGGATATGTAAAGCATATTCCTTTTGGTTTTAATTGAAAAGGAGTAATAGAAAGGGTAAATAACGGGTATCACATTATACAGGTTTTAAAAAGCACACAACAAGGTCTTTTAAGGTTAAAATCAAGCATTATCTTAAATATATGTATAAGATTCAGATTCCTGTGGATTTTTATTTCGGAAAAGAAATAAATAAAGAAATAATAGGTGCCGGGTATCATATATCTTTTTTTTTAAATCAAAAAGCAAGACTTTTTAAAAGCCGAAGCAAGCTTGAGTTTAAGGATATTTAGAGAATAATCGGTATGCCTTTTATTTTGGTGGGGGGAAAGGGAATAGAAAAGAAATGGATAAGTATGGACATATCTTTGAGGATACGTAGAGCATATTTATATCCGCTTTTATTTCGGAAAAATAATAGAAAATCCAATAGTTAGTACCTGGTATCATATAGCTTTTTTAAAAAGCAAAAAGCAAGACATTTTAAAAACAGAATTAAGCTTTAGTTTAAGGATAATTACAGAGTAATAGATAGGGAGGGTAGATACAGAATAATAGAGAATATGTAAAGCACATTTATGTTTCTTTTTACTTCGGTTAAATAATAGAAAATTAAAGAGTAAGTACCTGGTAAGATACATCCCCTAAACAAGAGCCTAGACCTACCAAAATAAAAGCCATACAGCTTTAAAGAAATGTCCATAAAAAGCCTAGACAACAAATTTGTATTTATAACTGTAAAAATTGCTGACCAACTTCCATTTAGCCAGCCGTCTCTTCCGACTCCCCCTATTTTTTTTATTTTTTTGCCTTTATTTGAACCACTTTCTTTGCACTGCGAGTTCACATTTGTTCAAATTTTTTTGTATTTTGTGTTTTTTTTACAGTTGGCGCAAATATTTGAGGATTTTAATTGTTTGTATTTGTGAGGAGAAATGCAGACAGGGAAAGGGCTAGAAAAAAAATACAGCAACAATAACAATAACAACAACAACAGCCGGCAGAGACCGGCAAAAGAAGAAGAGCGAAAATATTTGAACAATTCCAAAATGCGATAGTAAAGTGTTTTAAGCGGTTTTTGTTTGAATGTGGCCGAAATGGGGGACTCGCCATTTTCGAGGCGAGTAGAGAGGTACTGGAGGAGGAGGAGAGTGCATGTGTATGTGTGTGTGTCAGTCGTTGCATACTTTTAGGCCCCAGCCTGTTGTTGTTTGGCCTGTATGTTTGCGTCATTCTCTGTTTGTCTGTTTGTCGTCCTGCAGCCTGTTTACATCACATGTGCATTTATTTACTGTGCGCATGTTTTATTGTTAACATTTAAAATATTTGCGCCTGCATAAAATTCGTAAGCCCCCATCCTCATCCCCATCCCCATCCCTAGAACTCACCTACCTTGGCCCTTTCTCTTACCTTTTTCGGTCTCTGAATTATTTTTTTTTATTTCTCTGCCTTGCACTTCTTATTTAAGTAAATAGTTGCTTTTTTTTGTTGTATTTTCTACCCACAGAATTTGTATTTTATTTTAAATCGTTTAAGCATTTAGTTTATTTGCCATTTGCAGCGAAACAAACTG